CTGGATATAGTCCGGCCGGTCGATGTATTGATGCATCTGTCGCATGGACTGGACGCGACGTTGCAGCTTGTCAATAGACCAGATGTAGATAACATTGTGTTTGAAATCAATTACCCGAACTCCAATGCATGGTTTCTTCGCATCTTCCAGAGCCACATCGTCATCGCCTGAAATGCCGTTTAGGACTAGATCATAGGACGACGCCATATGATGTCCGACATCAACGACAACGAATTGGAAAACAACGTGCTTATCCATTATATTACTCATGACTTGTGCTTCCTTGAGTAGTGACGCGTGCTGAAGAACCGATTCGGCCATCCGAACATAATTCCGCTGTCGCCAATGCAGAACAACGGACCTGGCTATTGACATCTCTCCAGGCTCCAGTGGAGTGAATCCGGTTTCAAATATCCTCTGGGGACCTAAATATCCCATGTGTTTTATTTGGGATTCAAACTCTTTTTTCTGTCTTTGTAGTTCTTGTTGAAACTGCTCCTTCGCAACTTTGAGCGCATCTTCCATCCGTGCCTTTTCTACGCGTAGCTCTTCTAAATCCGGCGATGCCGCCCCGGCGGCAGTAGCAATCTTTGTTTTGTACTCTTCCTTTTGCCTATCGAGCTGCTGTTGCATGTCGTCACGAACCATCTGTAATGCAGTGTTATCCACCTCCCCGTCTTCGTCGTCAGCTTGGCGCGGCGTCCCCGGCATCGTAAGAGCTGTGTCTAGGGAAAAGTTGTCGATAGTTCCATTTGACATATACTTCTCCCGCACTGGATACGAGCTAAGCGAATCAGAATCGTCCTCACCGTCGAGAAGTTTGCTCTCTGGGCGGCCCCGCCGCACTGCTCGGGCTTTCTGCACGTCATCAAACAACGCGTTTAATTCATCGTCCGTCAGATGTGAAATTTTCTGGTCGGGCCCTAATATCGCACTCGCGGCTTCTCGTCGAGCATAGAACCAATCGGAATCCCGACCCCTGTGCGATGGCAAGGGGGATTCGGCTCTACTAGACTCTCCATCGACTTCTGAGCCTGCCTTGCTCATGGATCTGTCATGTCCCATTCTTCCTGGCGCAGGGGATCCAAGCTGGCTTGTGGTGATGGAGTGCCGAAGAAGGCTTTGTTCCACCCTTTCAGCACGCGCTTCTTGGGGATGATTAAACCGGAAGATGTGAAAGTCGCCCAGAATAATCCGAAATCCACTTCGTAATCGTTTGGGCTTGTCTATGCGCAATCCATTGACCATCACCGCCGCACCCTCATTGGGTACGATGGTAACAACATTATCGACGTTCTCAAAACTACAGTGATGGTGAAGTATTTTTGAACCATTCAGTCGGATTTCCGAGGTTGCCGCCGTATCCACGTTACCGACCGTGGTTGTGCCCGGTTTAATGTTATAAACCAAACATTCTGTAAGCAAAGGATCATCGCTCAGGTTGACAAGATGGGGTATCTTTTTGGGCGTGCTGAGCCCGACAAATCCCTTTTCGATACTGATACCCAATTCCTCTAGCGCCGCTTCACGTTCTTTATGAATTTCCTCTGTTTTCTGCAACTTCTCTTCCCAAGTCTGGTTGAGATCTTTGTAAAGTTTCTCGCTCTGGTTCAGTTGCTCAACGATCTCTGCCTTGCTGACTTTTTTAATCGACCCGTCGGCCTGGGCGATGGATACCATCTGTTGATCGAGCGGAGTACCAGGTGGATAAACTTCTTCAGCGAGACCGCCGCCGGCAGCGCTTCCAGCAACCGCCCCTCCACCAAGCTTGCTCCTAAGCTGCGCCAGCTCCTCCTTGAGTTCCCGGATCATCCTTGCATTAGGATCCTCGTTAACCACAGCATGATTCTTGATCCTCTTGGCGGAATCAGCGTAACGCAGCGTACTTAGCGTCTCATCGTAATTGATATCGGCTGGTGAGATTGCTGCGATCATAGCAGTCATGGAGTTACCTCCCAGAGAATCCTTCAGAAGCCACGTCAAAACGGAGTCACGGTATGGCACCATCGAGGCGCTTTTCTTTTTCCCAGCGGACAAATCAGCCAAAGCTGCAATGACACGACCAAGAGTAGAGAGTGAGCGATTGATCTCCGCACCCTCCTTGAGACGCGCGCCAGTTGCGCCAGTGGAAGTAGCTCTCTCTGAACCGGCCAAGTCGACCAAACTAATACGAGAGACCTTTTCCGTATCCATGGTTGTCTCCGTGTCGTGGCGCTTTTGTGTCACTGTAAGGGTAAAAACGGCGTGTGATCGACTGGACGTCTCGTTCATATTTGTGGCCGCGACGGTTCGCGCCTTGTTACCCTCGTCCATCAAGTTCTCGATTTCCTGGAAAGAGCGAACCACCAGCTTCGCCAAATCTTCAACGTAGGGCCCCGTTGAAGGATGCTCTCGAACTTTAAGGTTGCCCTTGGTTGTGGGGTTAAGCAAATCCCTGACCCTCTCGTTGTAAATCTCGAGATACGACACCTCCACCGTACACGTAAGATTTTTATCCGCGGACTGAAGCGCAGCGATCCTCAAGAACATATCCTTGCAGATCTTGGGGATAACGCCCGCTTCTTCGCCGTACCCCATCATGGAATACGACTTGCCAGATCCAGTTTGGCCGTACGCAAAAATACAGTTATTATATCCTTGAAACGCATTGTCCAGCAACGGTTTACCGAGATCTTCAAAAAGGTCATCCTGGCCGGCGAAATGCGGGTCGCTGCGGTTAAACGACCAGTAAGATTTATCGAATGCGAACACTTTCGGGCCTTCAACGGCTGCACCCCCTTGCTTCGCGCCTTTCCGTGATTTTTCTTCTGCTCCTGGTGGCGGCGTAAGTACGGTCTGCGAGCCTTTCATTTGAACGATACATTTTGCTTTACGGTCGAGCTCTGTAGCGTAGATTGCGACATACACAATCACATATCGTTAGAACCAAAGTAGTCACCAGCTGAGTAGTATATCTTGTGTGGGTATGAAGAGGGGGGGGACCGGGGGAGACCAGGGGAGACTGACCTCGGCCATTGAAAGGCCGCACTCTCACCACCACCTTAATATTTCCTCCTCCGCCTGGAGCCATCTTCACCCGTGCCCCATGCACTCAGTCCCTCTTCTCTCTACCTCCTCCAATATCAGCAATTCGAATCAGTCTAAATTTTCGAAGACGTAACAGCCGTTGGCACCAAAATGATCAGACGAAATCGAAGACAGATGGTGAGAAGTTTAAGAAAAAGCGGGGCCATATATATGTAACCGGAAGCCGGGGGAACGTGATCCAAATTAACCTCGATGCCGATAGGAGTGCGAGGGGAATATCAGCCGGGCGATATGGCGCGCTGTGGATGGATTCGAAGCGCGTAAACAACCAACGTCATCTAAAAGGGATGACAGTGAACAAGGATATTATATACGAGGACTCAAGATCGAAGGGCAGTTGCGGCCATTCACCATTCAAGTGTCCGACGTGCACAGGTCGCATACAGCCCCCCATCCGACTGGGACGACACTCGAATCTGCTATCACGGTTGACTTGGAGAGCAAAAGCACAGGATAACATTTTTCGATGTCGGGGGTTCAGCCACAGATCGCGGCCTGGGAAATTAGAGTTATGTCACCAGCCACGCTTATGTCATCGGAGCAGTGTTTCAGCCACATATTTACCTTAGTCAGCAGCCGGCTTCCCGCTCCCGGCCATGGAACAAAAACTGGCGGAAACCTTGCTTCATGGTTCATGGGGAGAGCGCGGGCAGTATCATCTCAATGTTGCTGCTGCTGGTCCGCTGGTCTGCTGAGCTCGCCACATTGTTTCCAAAGTTCTTATATTAATTAACTATTCCCATCGGCCTGTGGCAGTTTAGCTAAGCTTTGCGTATCGCTCAGCCTTTTCTTCTCCCCAAAGCCAGTCCGGGTATTCGGGAAGTGTCACCGCGACATGATGATGCAGTAGATTACAAGATTTCAACTATGATGTGAGTCTGTGGCACAACGAACTCTCCGGGGCACTATTCGCCCCCGAGGTCGATCTTCTTTGGCTTTCTTCTGCTGAAGCAGGTTGGTTCCGCCAATGAACGTGGTTTCGGCAGCAATTCGGCTCCTCCACGGCCGGGATTTCAAAGTCTAGAGCCAGAAGAAACTCCAAAAATGAGACGGTCAAGAATGCTATTACCACCAAATCCTGTGGCACACCATTTGCCAGTGACGTGGCGGAAGTGAACAAAGGTGACTTCAGACCAAGACTTCATACCAAGAACTTTGATTGATGGCAAGGCTGCTCACCACGTGAGGCGGCGTCCAGGCTGCGGTATGCGGTAGTTGATAGTTAACGAGTTAGTTACGAGCCCATACTCTATGTAAGCGGAACGTGGTGGGTGTCCATCGCCATCCCCATCCTTCAATTGGGGCGCTTGCTAGCAGAAAAAGCAACGAAACCTAATAGGCCCGGGTCACACGCTAACAATGGCTACAGGAGCTGTGCGTTGCTGCTGATTTTACGGGCCCAGGTCGGCGCAGGCGCAAGTCCCAGTCCGCAAAGTCTCCCACAAAGTCTCCCGCAGGCTTCCCACCTCCCAGCAAAGCCCAGCAGCTGTTCGCTGGGAGCTGCGGCAGGAAACAGGTGACAGACAGCCAGGCTAGCGGCTGAACCAACTCCAAACTCCCCCAAGCCGCCTTCCCTGACTCGCAGAGGGCAAACCCCTCACGCGCTGGCTTCAACTGCCCTTAACTGTCCTTCACTGCCCTTCACTGCCCTCGCGAGTCAACTGACCCCCGTATCGGGGAATAGATCTGCTCCCGGCTATCCTGTGCCGTGTCGCACTATAAATATCATGCCTATTGGGTGTCTGGCTTCCTCGTCCCCCTCGTCCCCCTCCTACCCTCCTGAACAACACCTGGCGGCACTCAAAACAACTTTCTGGTTTGATTTGCCTTTTTCCCTCGTTTCCCCCTTGCTATATCCTCTCCAGCCAGCTCTCTGTTGAAATGCCATGCAGAGCCTGCGCACGCCTCTAGTCATGTCTTGGAAGGCATCTTTGCCTGCCAGACAATATGTTGTTTCCGGTTGCAGAGCTTCTGGTTCCCGCCAGTTAAACTCACACGGTCGAGCTTCCCTCCGACAAATCAGGTACCGCGCGTCGGTGCGCGGATACTCCACGGAACCTTCCCAAGCTCCAGCAAAGAGAAGTGTCCAATTGGGAGTTGCTGCAGCAGTTGCCATCTCGATCGGCCTGGGTCTCGTAGTCTATCGACGGCCCGCAAAGCCTGTCCACCTCGACTCCAAGAAGGAATACCCGGCACACCTCCGGAACATCGTGGATGCTGCGGAACCTGTTGGAAAGTCCCTAAATCTATCTGACCTTCCTGTCGAGAAAGCGCAACTCACCAGCGCCCCCAATGTGCCCCCGCCCATTACTCGAGACCACCCCGTCCTCCTCAAGGTGCCCTTGACAACCACTACGAAGATAAAGCAACTCACCAGCACCTACAAGTATGAGCAGTGGACTTTTAACAACCAAGTGCCGGCGCCGTTTATCCGGGCGCGCGTTGGGGACGTCATTGAGCTGTCCCTGACAAACAAGGATGTGACAGGCAACCCTCACAATATCGACTGTCATGCATTTACGGGTCCTGGCGGGGGAGCCTCGCTGACAACTGCCGAAGAGAATCAAAACAAGACCGGTAGATTCAAGCTTCTATACCCTGGGCTATTTATCTACCACTGTGCGGCAGCCCCAGTGCCCGTTCACATCGCCAACGGGATGTACGGTCTCATTTACGTACAGCCAGAAGAAGACCCCCTCCCCAAGGTTGACAAGGAATACTACGTGATGCAGAGCGAGTTCTACCACGAACCGCCCGAGATTGAGGAGAATGGCAAGCGCTCCTCTCTTGTCGAATTTTCATACCCCAACGCCCTCCGCGAAGACCCGGATGTGGTTGTCTTCAACGGCAGCGAGACTGCTCTCACCATGGACCATCCCCTCAAAGCCACCGCGGGCGAAACCATCCGTGTTTTCTTTGGCAACGCTGGACCGAACTTGACCAGCTCGCCACATATCATCGGGAGCACCTTCCATAACCTCTACCGCGACGGTGACATCCTCAGCCCTCCAGCCCGCAATGTGCAGACGACCACAGTGCCTCCCGGCGGTGCGACAATTTTTGACATGAAAGCGGTTGTACCAGGGACGTACACACTGGTGGACCATGCCATCTTCCGACTCGATAAAGGCGCTGTCGGATTCATAAATGTGACGGGCAATCCGAGGCCGGACGTATACCAGAGCAACGAGCATGCGGAGCCGTGCGTTGGGTGTAAACTGCATCCATGAGCGATCCATGCATGTGTTTGGTTCTTTCGATTCGAAAATTTTATGATTCAGTTTTACCTTACGTATCGATGATACCTGTTTCCTGTCTTTCCTTTTTAAATTTTCCAACTCACTCACTCCTAATTAAACAAGAGGCGTCCTCACATAATATTATTTATTCCTTGCTATTATGAAAATAAACATTCAATTATAAGTTTTGTTTCACGCAACCATCTCTCATCATGATTTGAGTCACTCACTAGCTGAATAAATGGATGACGACTCTTCAGCCATTATAAGCTTGACAGCGCATTGTTTCTCGGGTCTCAGAATCCGCCGGGTATTATCCAGGGTTTGGCTATTAAGCCCCGCAAAAGTGCCCGGGCCGACAAAGCGTCTGCAGCCTCTCTCGATTTATCCTCCGGCGTATTGTCCAGGGTTGTCACAATATAGCTAGCTATCCTAGACCAATGAGCGAAGCAATATTACACATGATGCAAAGTACTCTGCACGCTGTACATCTGTCATAATCATACGATTGAGTATCCCCAAAGACCAAAACCACATCCAATACGCAGAGCAGACTCCTCGTTCTCCCTCAATGTTCAAATCATACCGGGCCCGAAGTCCGGGTGGGGGCGTTGGGGGGCAATTCCAGCTCCACCACCGCCCAGACTTAGGGCTTGGCTTTGGCAAAAAAACAACCACAACAACAACTAAACGTCATCCATAACCTATCCATCCTTTCTCCCCAATTTCAGATCATTCTTTGTACTAGATTCTTATCTTTTGCTTTTTAAACAGCGCTTGCATTTGCCCAAAATGGAGGACAGTGCGTGGGCGGAATAAGTCCTGTGAATTGAGAATGCACCTTCGGCCTAAAATATCCATTTACGACCCTGCCCTGCGCAAGCGAATTCGATCCAAGACGAAAGAGTCCAAAAAAAAAGCAGAAGAAGGGAAAGAAGGAGGTGAAAGTGAAGGTGAAAGTGGTTACTTAGGCATCAAAACAAAACGTTAAGAGGAAAATAAAATCCCAGGGCGGTCGAGGAGACAATGATTCTCCTCGGCCTCTCAGGCCGCTATTTCACATTCGTCGCCATCACCATCCTCCTGATCATTGCCATTCTCTACGGCTCTTTCTCCCACGTGTACAGTGGCCCTCTGTCATACCTGCCAAAATCACAGTCCCAGCTGCCGCTATGTCGCGCCCCCAGCCCGGTCGCGGGTTCCGATAACAATAACAGCAACGATGGTGCGTGTGTTGGAGTCAAACCATGGAAATTCGAGACGACCCGTGACGGAGATAACTACGGCTTGAGCAGGGCGCAGTGCCAGCAGGCATTTCCGAAGCTGTATATTGAGATTGAGAAGGCGGTTGCGGCAAGGCGGGGACGGAATATTACCTTTGACGAACTGAATTCGAAGCCGCTGAAGAACTCAATGGTTAGAGCAATGATATATCAGGGCGCAGTGAGTAAATCTTAAAAGAAAAGAAAAGAAAATGTATTCCATTTTGATGAGAAGAGTCCCGTGAAGAAAGAGAAGTATACGGTGCTGATGTACAAGGTACCCATCTACTCTAGCTATACGTCATAAATTTTGAGGACATGAGATATACCTTCAGCCGAGCAAAGGCGTCTCTGAATGCCCTAAACCGTGCCCTAAACGCCATCCCAAACCGCTATGAAATACCCAACATTGAATTCATCTTCACAACGGAAGACTACCACGACGACCCGCATCCCATATGGGTGTATTCCAAGCGCGAAACCAACGGCTGGGCCTGGCTCATGCCCGATTTCGGCTACTGGTCCTGGCCCGAGATCAAGGCCGGCCAATACCGCAGCATCCGTCAGCGCATCGCCGCAATCGACGAAGGCGCCATCATAAATGGCAAACCCCGCACGGCCTTGCGATTCCAACGCAAGAAAAAACAGCTCCTATGGCGCGGCGCCATCGCCACGGCACCGGTACTGCGCCAGAAACTCCTCGACGTGACGAAGGGGAAATCCTGGGCCTCCGTGCGCGCTCTCAACTGGGCCGACGAGACCAGTATGCGGGACGACTACATCCCGATCGAGGACCACTGCAAATACATGTTCCTTGCCCACGTCGAGGGACGCAGCTATTCCGGGCGCGGCAAGTATCTCCAGAACTGCCGGTCCGTGATAGTTGCGCACCAGCTGGTGTGGCGCGAGGCGCACCACGGCGCGCTGGTCGCCACAGGACCCGAAGCCAACTATGTCAAGGTCCGTCGCGACTTTTCCGACCTCGAGGCCAAAATGAACTACCTGCTCGACAACCCGGAGGTGGCGGAGAAGATTGCGGAGAACGGCGTGCGTACGTTCCGCGACCGGTACCTGACGCCCGCGGCGGAGGCGTGTTACTGGCGCGAGCTGATCCATGCTTATGCATCCATTTGCGACTTTGAGCCTGTGCTATATGCGGATGCAAGTGGCGAGCCGAGTTCGGTGCGCGGTGTGCCGTTTGAGTCGTTCGTGTTGGATTGGAAGTTGCCTGGGAAGTGAGTGAGTGAGTGAGTGAGAGTGTATGTTAATCTGTTGTTCTTTACAAGGAATTGTCTCTTGTTTTTTTCTTCGTTTTCGTTTGGTTTGGACGTTTATTTTTATATCCCAGACATGCCGAGAGATATTACATTTTATTTTTTATTCCCCCCCCCCCCCCCCCCTTCCTTTTTCGTTTTTCGTATATTATGAATCATGGGTATGCAAAGTACTGCATTATGGTTCAAAGGGGATATTTTTTTGTTTTCTAAATTGGTTGCATATACCAGTACCTATCCGTTGCCTAGCAAACGGCAGTTGTACATAAAGCACGTCATCACGCTGATGAGTATTTTCCATGTCCTCCTGATGATTTTCTCCGGTCTCTGATGACAACGTATGTAGTTGGACCAGCCGAGCCACCGGCTTTTGTTTGCATTGCAAGAATAGCGATGAATAAACATTACTGATTGATTGCCCATGATAATACAAAGTTCCAACAACCAAACCCATCTCATGCTTCTTCGTATTTCTCTCACGACGGAAGAACGCACTGTATCTTTTATTTCCTTCACTCATCCCCTTCGCAAACCCCCCTCTCCCTCGCCCACCGCAGCCGTTATTGAACAAGGAAGACGTCGCAATGCGGATTGAGCTATGTATGACGGTGGTTCACTCTATTGAGCGACCGCCACTTCAACACCCCCCTCCCCGGCCCCTCTCCTGGTCCAAAAAGTCCACCCATGTTTTTGAATTGCCGCCTCTTTTTAAATGACGTACATTTAGCATGGCTTATGTCCTGCACCGCACAAGGGCTAAACGAACCGCGGCGAAAAGACACAAAGTTCCGGGCCCTTGCCACTGATGGCAGCGCAGTTCTACATCAATTAGTATGTACTCCGTACTGTCCATTACTTCGGGGCAAACCCCTACCCACACCATCGGGCTTCCCCGGCCATGGATTATGGCACTTCTCCGTATTTGAGTGTATTCTTGAACGGGGCTGAGGGGGGGAGGGGAAGGGCGGTTGATTGATTGGTTTATGTTTTTGTTTCGGCTACCGAACGTGTGTATATGCATATATAAGACTTCAAAACTCGAGAACAGGAAGGAAAAATCTGCTCGGATTACAAATTACAGATCCATGTAGCGGACAAAACTCGGGAGACTTTCCAAGAGGTACGCAGGGTTCTCGTAGTCAGGATTCTGCTTTGAGCTACAGCAACTACAGACTGAATGGCATGTGCCGAGTGCTGTCCAGGAATTGGATGAGAAGACCGGTCTTCCCGATGAGCATTCTGGAAGGAAAGATGGGCTATTCCAAGAAAAGCTACGCGGCATCAGCAAAAAGAAGCTTTCTTAGAGAAGAAAAAGACAGCAATGCGTCGTGAACAAGTTGGAAGAAATTCACTAACAAAAATAAATCCAGGCTAACCTTCCTGGTGAACGACATTCTGAGTGTACTGCGGTAGTCCATGAATACTCGTACATATATGTATGTAACCCTGCTTCTAGCTAAAAGAGGAGGAAGAAGCGAGTGTTGGTTCATGCTCAATACAAATACGGAAAACACGGAAGATGCTGGACGCAGGCCATACTACAGCATTTTACCGCTAGTCAAGGGATACGACGATAATTGATCATCCCGCGAGACCTAACCGACCGCCTCCACTCCCAAGTATGGCGATGGGAGGGAGAAAGTTCATCTTTTGGGCGTTCTGAGTAGACGAATGAAAAGAGACGATTTTTAAGTTCGAACATCCAAACAAGAACTAATCTGGATAGTTATCATCTAACTTTTTACTGGACGATCTAGCGAACTTGTGCCAGCCCCCTCTGTTGGCCCTTTTAGTTTTGTGGTATGCGGGTGATGTGAGCGATTGACTCTCCTTCGTAGAAATAAAAACATCGCCACCATGCACATGAGTGACGATCGTTCTCAGGGGTAATAAGCCGCATCTTCTTGATCAGGGATGCCATGCATTGGGCTGAGAATGTCTTCCTGCGCATGCAACCTTCCAGCTGGGACTTCATATATGCAAGATGAGACACCCATCTGAAGTGCCAAATGTTCGCGGGAAAACCACTGAAGTTTGAGTCCAACAGGTGCTAGACAACACGAGAAAGATGAATAACGAGACACAGCCCAACAGCAACCTGCGGTGAAACCACACAGAGAGAGGAACCAGGGACCCTTGGCATTACCCGGCATCACAGCATCTTGTGATAGGGATCTGTATCCGGAAAGCTGCAAGTACCAACAGGGCGGCCTGGTCGTTTAAACGCAGCTTGTCCTTTCCGCTGTGCACGATGTCGTCGGCTGAAGGCTCCGAGTTTTCGACAACGGTGACAACTTACAAGCGCTGATATGTCTGACAGCAGATCCCCCACGCTGTCGTTGGTCGGTGATCACGGGAGGATTGCCGTAGTCGCTCGTCAGTGCGGAGTCCGAGTCTCCCCAATGTCCCCATAATGCTCCAAAGCAACCGAGATGTGGGACAAAAGATGAGGGGGAATCTTTTGCTCCCACGACAAAGTCTCCGCGGACCAAGGACACCGCCCATTTTTCTGGCCATTAATTCTCGGCTGAAGAACCGCTTTTTTGCATTTTTGTACGCAATAGATATGTTATGGCGCAATTTCGAGGTGACGAAATCACCTTACCTCGGTAACTAGCGAATAGCTGAGAGGGCTAACTACGAACTAACCAAGTGGAATTGGAGAGTTGTGCGGGGGTGACTGAACGGATGAAACCCCCGCATATCGATTAAAGAATCGGAAAAAATGGAGGAAGCAGACTGCATTCAGCCATGGAGGTTGAATTGCTGGGTATTGTGGAATATCTACCGTGGGTCAGAGAAAGAGATCGTCGGGTTGATTCCAGGGCTTTGCATGGCACTACCAAGGGAGTTAGTTGGGTGAAAACATGGGTGGAAGCATGGAACGAGCATGGAACGATAGCAGTCGGTAAAAGTATGGGCAGGCTACCGTTAACCTGACCCCTAGCCTGGGCGCCAAGATTTAGGCACCAAGCCCCTAGACCAGCCCTAGATCTTTCGGGGGAGATGGCGGTCTGATACCATACCCGAGTCGTTGCAACATAAAGTGCCATACCGGGCAGATCTCAGAGATGTTTTCAGAGGACTGAAGTCCTTCATCTCTTGGCCGACTGACATAACGGCTCTGAGAATGTATCATCATGAGATACTGCTTCATTTCCAAAGATGATGAATTCGCCATTATCGTCGCATGTTCAAGCTATGAAAGGGATGAGGTTTGAACAAAAACAGCATTTTCAAGAATCCCTCACAGGGATTTAGGGTTTTCTGATTTCTGTTTTTTTCTTTCTCTCTCCTTCTCTCTCTCTCTCTCTTGCTTCATCTGGAACACGAAGAAACGATTTTTACTGCTCCGGACAAGGACGACCGATATCTTCCAAGATGTGCACAGATCTTCAATTTCTTACTCATTCTATTTCTTCGCTCATACTATAAACTCTGCTGACGCTGCCCCGTTTCAACCTCACCTCCCGGATAATGGCCCTCATCAGGTTATTCTCAAAAGATTTTCCAGAAACAGCACTCCTAACATTGATGCTGATTGGTATGCATTCGGCACCAACACATACGGCAATAGGGTGCAGATAGCGAAGTTCAGTGATTTTGAAAAATGGACAGTGGTTCAACACTGATGCCTTGGCTAGGCTGGGTACATGGGAACGCCCCTTGGTCATTGGGCACCACATATTATTGCGAGAGTGCATTGATAATCACGCAATCAAATTCCTTTATATACTTATGGAGATACCTCTATGAGTGTAAGTTGGAGGCCACGGGATATTTATGAACCCCCCACCCAAGAATTTTCAGCTCTAGCTCTAAAGAGATCCCTGGGTAGTGCAGATCACTGTGGCTGGACTAAAAAAGAGGTTAAATACTGACACATGATGATGGAGGACTGGGCGTTTACTGCTGTGAAAGAACAACAAAGTTCCCTCATCACCACTGTGTCACAGCAGCTATATCTAAAGGAGCCAAGAGCTCACAGAGGCTTACCACTCCTTGACAAGCCCTTCACCTGTTACAATGAAAAGGGGAAGATCAATCAACCCAGCCAAGTTCCTTGATACAGATGGCTTCCACTGCGTTGCTTAGAAAATCGACAACCACAGCATCTGCAATAGGGGAGTTTGTGAAAACCCGCATTCCATCATATCCTTCTGACGCCCCTCTATCCACAGAGGGTAGGAGGATACAACATGATCAAAATTGACAACCAGCCCACAGTATTGACCACGATGACAGCGTTATCCCACTGACAGCGAAGCCCAGTCTGCTCTGTTCAGAAGACGGTGTATGGATGCGGCACAGCTGGAAGTTAAAGGGGAGCCTGACCAGGACGTGTTATCATTATATATATATATATATATAACCGCAAAAGAACAATGCTGTTTAAGCAAGAGGTCGCTTGTCAATGAATGATCCTGGCTGCGAAGGTTTCTTGTTTCATTTTCCCATGTAGAGTTCTATGTGCCGTCCATTTTGATCGGAGATATATGTGCTGTTTTTATCAACTTGAATGTATTCAACATTTACACATTGTCGAGCACTGGTCAGGCCATTCGTCATTATGCATTAGCAGGAGGCGCTGGTGGTAACTTGAGATCTTCTGTGTAAAACTGGGCTTTCACCACTAGGTTAGAAAGAGAATTCCCCAATGAACATAGTCTTCTTAAGTTCATAATTTTATCTCATGCCTCGAAAAGATAACATGGAACTGCGCCACCGCCCTCTCGCCAAGGCTGACTCAGCACCGATTGCTCCACGTGACCCAGAGCCGCATCGACTTCCTCCATCGCCAAGTTGCAACTCGACCTCGCCGTCACCAACATCACCAACTCTGCTCGCGACTTTGCAGCATCAATTGCTCAACCATCCCCCTCTCAGATTCTGTGTCTTTTTTGACACCTCGGGGATCAATCCTTCTAGGCTTCTTGTAGGTTGCCGAACCTCTTACCTCTTCTCCCTCGTTCTTCCCCTGCGCGCTTGTGCTGCCTCCGCCCGTTTATCTGGCATCAGTCGTCCTCCCTTGTCTTGTGCTTGGTCTCGTCCTCCTCCCGTTTATCTTCTCTCTCTCCTTGTCCTCTCTCCCCGCGCACTCCCAAAACTTCGTCGCCCATATTGCTCGGTCCATTTTCTTCTCATTATCCATACTTGCCCCTCCACTCTTGTCTCTCTTCCAGCTCCCACTGCTTCCCCTCAAGGCGAATTCACGTCTCGTACTCTCAAGGAAGCCTCTCATTCATCTTATTTCCTCTTCACCCTTATTTGATCGCTATCAGTGAGCGATGCAATTCTCTCATCACTTTTTGGAACTCCCTTGTTTCTTCAATCACTTTTTATCCTTGTCATTTTTACTTCTACATTCCTCGCCTATCGCCCCTCGCCCCTCCGCTTCCTTCAGCTAAATACTTTGAAATAACATCACTCTAACCCTCAAGATGTCGACTCACAGCTCCAGCCATCCCCCTTTCAGCCGCCAGATTTATGAGTTTTGTCCCCAGGCGACATATAACATAGCTAGGCGCAGTGTTTATGCGCCATCATTGGCCCGAACAAACGATAAGATTCCATAATCCTTAATATCGGCGTGAACTTAGCCGCTTATTTACGAAGCCAGTGTCTCATGAGAACAGTTGCGTGGAGTTTTTTTTCCTCTGCTTTCGTGAATGGAGTCATACGATCCCTTCGGTTCCCCCAGTGCCGCCTCGGCTAAGGCTGATACTAGGTGGGGCCGCGAGGAGGATACTTTTGCTTCCAGGGCAGTCATGGATTCATATCGGCGAAGGTCTCCCTGTACGTCTATATTTTCATCGTTTTAACGGACTTATACTTCCTACGCTATACCGTCCCGCCCATTTTTGCTCCATTATTGACACCTTCTAGCTTCCCAGGGCCGTCGTCGCTCGTCTATACGTGGTCGATCTCGTTCTCCTGTCGCAATTGATCGTTACCAACCTGGTGATCGAGAACGTGCATCTCGCGGAGATGACTATTATGCCGCTTCTCGAGACCTTGCAGCCCGTGATCGAGAAGAGCGCCGTCGGTTGCCCTCCCCCGTAGCAGCAAATATCGACCGTTATGTTCCCGGACAGGATTCTACTAAGCCCATTTTACGGACCAACCCTCTGCCAAACCCTTTATCTCTCGACTTCCAAGTAGGATTCAACTGGTTTGCAGAATGGTGGAGGGCAGATCAGGCAATTAAAGAAGAAAAAGAGCGGGCTAAACTCGGCGGAAGACGACCAAGTGATCGAGTTAAAGGTGAACGAGAGGCCCGAGAAGATCGCGAAAAGGAACGCGCGCAGATCCAAGCCGCCTATGACACCTACAAAGCTGAACTGCAAATCAAGATGGCGAGAGCTTTTGTCCAGCAACACAAAGCGGAGGAGTGGTTCAAAGAGAGATATATTCCCGAAACTAGGGACCCTATTCGCCAGCGGCTTATGGAGTTCAGAACCCATGCGTATCGGCAGTGGGAGCAAGATATTGACTCTGGAGTATTTGATGAGTTTACCCTAGAAGGCATTTACAAAAGCGAAAGTGACGGAGCAGGTGGCATCATTGAAAAGGAAGAAGGGGAAGCGACAGCCGTGGGGGAAACCCTTAGTGTTCTCGATCTGGTCCCCGCACGCGGAGGCGATTTGCGCGACGATTCGCTACTGCAACCTGCTCTCTTGATCAAAACTTTGGCGCCCAATGTCAGTCGCGACAAGATCGAAGATTTTTGCAAGGAGCATCTTGGTGAGGGAGATGGCGGATTCAAATGGCTTAGTTTGAGTGATCCTAATCCTACCAAAAAGTGCCACCGGATGGGTTGGATTATGCTTCATCCATCAGAAGCGGGCTCATGGGCAATTGAGAGAAGCGATGGCAGGGATGAAGAAGGCGAGGAAGGAGATGGTGGCGCAGCAAATGGATCTGCCTCCACTTCTACAGCCGAAAAAGCGCTGGAGGCGGTCAATGGAAAAACCATCCATGATCTTGATCGCGGCGACTTTGTATGCCACGTTGGTGTCCATATCCCACCGACGAACCCGAGGAAAAAGGCCCTTTGGGATCTGTTCTCGGCCCCTGAACGTATCGAGAGAGATCTCGAGTTAGCCAAACGGCTGGTATCGAAACTTGATTCAGAACTTGGTTCAGGTGATGGCCTGTCGAAGATCGAGAGTCGAGTCGAAGACCTACAGGGAAGAGGTTTACTCCACCCTCCTGTTACAGGCTCTTCGAAAGAAAAAGAAGGCAAGCCGTTCGAAACCGACGTGGATATGATCCTCTCAGAAGATGGGGAAGCCGAGGAAGGAGAAGAGCAGGAAGAGTCGTACGACGAGGAAGTCGACAGCGAGGAGCTCCTTGTTAAGAAGAAGCAGCTGGATCTGCTAGTTGAATATCTGCGTCGTGTTTATAACTTCTGTTTTTTCTGTGTCTTCGAAAGTGATTCGATTCATGAGCTTGTTCGCAAATGTCCTGGTGGACATCTTCGCCGCCCTCGTTCTGGGCTAAGTACTCAAGCAAAAGCCGCAGCAAAAGCTAGCGCTCTCGGCCTACCGTTTCCTACAAAGAAAAAGGAAACTACAGAGGAGGACCAAAACGGAGCGTCGCCAGTGGATGAGAAAGAGCAAAAGCAGCCGCACTTTTCGTCAAAGGCTGAACAGCAGACTCACCGTGCTTTCAACTGGGTGCGGACGTTTGAAGACAAGCTTCTTCAATTATTGGAGCCCGAGAATGTGGACCTGAGAAAACTTGGTGGAAAACCCGTGGACGAGGCGGTGGAGGAAGAGCTTTCGAAATTTGTTAAGCAAGAAGACGAAGCTAAATTCCGTTGCAAAGTGCCAGAGTGCACCAAATTATTCAAAGCACACCACTTCTGGCGGAAGCATGTGGAAAAACGCCACCCGGATTGGTACAGCGATATCCGCAGAGATGTAAGTACGATTTCCCTCTCATTTTGCTCCCCATACTTATATCGCATCATAGTTGTTCCTGGTCAATGCCTATGTCCTTGATCCGGCACATATCTCCCCATCTAGATCTGATCCGACTAGCAACGGCCATTTCCCATATTCATCTGGCCACATGCCCACCGGAACACCTCGCGGATTCAACCTTGCGAACATGCCTTTCAGCTTCGGGGCAGGTAATGGATCAATGCCTGGTGGATCCCCTTTCTCAGGCCTATCATCCGCCGCAGGATTTACCGGATTCATGAATGCAGCTGGCCACCCTGGTGGCTGGGCTGGTAGTGGACTCCCTTTGACAGGTGCCGCTGGCTCCGGGGACCCGTCTGCTCTGCATCACCCCGGAGTTATTCGACGTGGGAACCGATATGGTGGAAATAGAACGGGGCCGTATGACCGGCGAGGAGGTCGTTTTGGTTCTGGTGGGGCTGGAGGAAGCGTGGGCGGCAACGGTCGACTCAGCCCCGGCCGAATGGCCGGCATGTCTGCGGCTGGTGGTCGCCTGCCTTCAGGCGCTGGCGCAGCATACATTCCACTTGGTCACCCTGCTGCAGCCGCCGCGAGCGCTGGTGTTGGCCCTCGGTGGGGTGATAGTTCAAGCGGGAGCGCACAGGCCATGGGCCCAACAGAAGCAGTTCAAGGCCGCAGCTTGAAAAGTTATGAGGACCTCGATGCGGTCGGGGGGCCCGGAAGCGGGGAGTTGAATTATTAATTCCATTCTCTTCGCTTTTTCCATTTCAATTTCAATTTCAATTCCGTTTTATTTTCTTTCTCCTTTTTATTTGTGCAAACTTTTTCTCATTTTGAAACAGGTTTCTTTTCAGCTTTGTTTCTTTCGATTTGATATTTTTCGCTGTTTTTTTTCCCCCTCGGCTTTTCATTTTCATTTCAAATCTAATCAGGGTGAAATGTGTATTCATATCTATCCAATCTTTTTTTTTTTTTTTTTTCATCCTCTGGTCGTTTCTCTCTTACAAAAAAAAGGATGAACGGAGTGGTTTTTTTTTTTATGTGGCTGAAATCTACCAGCACATTATATACGTGTGCATGTGGTCACTTTCCTTCTCTTGTGGTTTCCTAGTATTCTGTCTTGAATTCCTTGCGAGCTTCCTCAGGTAGTTTTAGATAGATACCTTTAGCCAAACGGAGAACATGGAGTATATTTATTCAGTCGTCACCGTTCTTGACTCACTAAGAAGGTCGATTTGCATCAATCAGGGCACCCTTTTCGCTGGCATGCCTCGCTATATACAGATCCTGGTGCCACCATAATGTATCATAGCGGGCGCGGAGGGAGGAGTTTCACTAACTCCAATCAATTGAGAGGAGAATCTTACGTGGAAGCGATGAAAATCAAGAAAAGAACATTTGGAAAAAGAACCTAAAATTCGAGAATAAACATTCAAAAAGGCTTGTGGTGAGTGAGTGAGTGAGTGAGTGAGTGAGTGATGTTTGCCTATTTCCACATTCGCAACCACCCAGCACCAATTACAGACTGGGATCCGAACAACAATTCTTCATATAAAATTTATTCTGTTCAATCTTCCGCTACCTCCCCCGTTGTCCTGTCCTTTACCTGATACTGTGATGGAGGCCTGTATGATTGTCTGGATTAAATCCAATCCAAAGTGTATATCGGGATCCTCTGGACAGCATCCTTAGACAGATACCCCATTCCGTCGCACGCGCGCTCAGCCCAATAACCCAAGAGATCATTGACCCGATGGCGGGTCTACTGTGATGCCCTTTTCCAACCTCCATCTCTCCACAATAAATTTGCTGCAGCCCTTGCATCGTCATTGTCTCTTCGTTATCTGCTCATGGAAGTCACTGTAAACTCGACCTCACGGTTGACAGGACATGCTTAGCACAGCATCCTTCACCGATCCCAGGCACGAGAAAAGCACTCGGTCATGAAGTTATACATAAGGGCATCATCATAACCATCATAGTAATCATAATCGTTCGAAAAACGCCCCATCAATCCATAAAAATAACTGGCTCGTCCGCTCCATCCCTCCACTGAACACCGGTTATTTTCCGGACGCTCCTATCACTGGCTAGATACATCAACAAGTATACATGCGGTGCAATTTCGCCCCAACTGTATATTTTGACCGTGACATGTTGCGCGGCATCGAGCCCTGCCTTCTGCTGAGAAGACTGGGTCTTTGCTGAACTTTGGGTGCTTGTCTGGGATGTAAGATCGATTACGGAGTGTGAATGGGAGGACAGACATTGCGAGCTGGGAGCTGGGGAGTTGGATTCGCAAATGCACCACACGCCCCAACCGGCACGGCCGTCGTCGGCGATGAATTTCGAAAGGAAGCCCCAGAAGTCGAAGAAGCGTTTGCTGGTCCAAGATTTGTTGGCTCGTGTAGGATTACAACTCTGAGACTGGGCAACATTTGAAGTATTCTTATGATTGTCTTTGGTGCTGGTGCTAGTGGGTGCGTCGGAGATGGTGAGGTTTAGAAGCCAGTAGCCACGCTCCAAAGTTCGTAAGGGGCGAGTTTGTCGTTGCGGGTTAAACACCCTGGACAGTTTGACTCTGTCAGCGAGCATTTGTAGCGTGGGCGTGATGTGAGTTGTAAATTGAGCTGTGGAAGAAGGCACGGGCCGTGGCGGGTTGATCTCAAGAGGCAAGGACGAAAGCCATTCTAGGGGTACGGCCGGGGCTGCTGATGCTGCTGATGCTGCTGCTGCTGCTGGCTTATCCAATGGCCGACAGGGCTCCGGCTGTGGAGGTAGATGCGAAGGAGCTGATGGCTCAGATATGGACGAAATGGGCGTAGCAGTAGTGGAAATAGAAGACGGTATGCATGCTGGGGAAGCTGAGAGTCGGCGGCGTTTTGCTTGAGAGATCTGGGTATCTAATGACGATCTTCCTATTTGAATGACTTTCTCCAATTTCCTGGGCGGGCTATTGTCCTTTTCAACATTCCAACTGGCTTGAAAAGAAGACTGGGATTCGGGAACTTCGCTGGGGGGCGTCTCGGTAACCTGAGAGCTTGGAATGGTTGCGTGAACGTTTGGAGGGCCAATTCCAGGAACTCTAGGAGGAGAATTACTCGTAGTCACGAAAGAATTCTCAACACCAGCGCCTACATCATTTTGTGAGAGGGACCTTTGAATTGAGGCCTCCGAAAGGGCCAGCAGGCCACAGGTGGTTTCCCCGAAACTCGGGCCCCATGTTGATGGCACAGGAGTACTCTTCGCTGAAGATACGGCAGTAGAGATGTCATGTAATGTTTTCTGTCCTCGCTCATCCAACTCTGAGATGCGAGGTGCACGGCTTTCACCCTGCGGCGATGTGTCGCGGACCTGGTGTGGAGATTCAGCGACGTCGTCCGTGCCAGTTTCGCTGCTTGGAGGGTCAGGATAAATCCTTATCCTTGACACTGGCTCAAATTCAAAATACGCAGCTGCGTGAGCCCGGTATCTCGCGTCGTCCTTTGCAGAACCGGGAGCAGAGATGTGGGTGAGTATTTCACCGCTGTTGGGCATCGGAGCGAGTCATCAGGCACTGCAATGGAACTCCAAAACCGCCATCGTCATTGTAAGATGCCCTTCGGGCTTTAGTACATGTTAGGTTTGATACAGTTATTTCTTGCCATATGTTGGTATTCTCCAGGGCTTCCCGGGCAGGTCGAGTTGCGGGGACCAAGTTGTGGTGATAGTTAGTTGCCTTCTATCCTGCTGATTAAGTTCAGTATCCAAAATAAGTGTTATTTACTAGGTTAACTACTTGGTTATTGCACTTCCTGATATCTCTCAACCCGGCGCAATCACATCCTCTACAAACCACAAATGGAGCAAGATTAAATTAACCATACCATTATTTGCTTGCACATTAATATAGCCCGCAAAGGACTAAATTGGTGTTAATATTAGTGGGGTGAAAACATTTGCCTACAACGAAAACCCAGACAGAGATGTCTGGTTGAAAAAATGGGTGAAGAAGAAACCGCCATGAGAAAAGAATATCAATCGCTTCGAGAGTCAGGCGCCCAAGCTTAATGGACGAAAATGCAAATACTTTCCAGCAATTCATCCCTCTTCCCCCCCCCCCCCCTCCCTTTCCTTCCCTTCTACATTTACTCTCTCCCCATGGCCTTTTCAATGGCCTCAAGACCAGCGATAACTTTTTCGTCGCAGAATTTCCTCCCAACAAGCTGCAGGCTCACTGGTGCCCCCTCGTATCTCTCTGGTCCGGTATAGAGATTATAATTATATCGATCCTTGTCGTTACGAGGTCGGTAATTCTCGTCGCGCGCATCTACTGCGGGGTCCACGGTGGTAACAGGGAAAACAGCACCGGGGTAGTCGAGTAAATTCCACTGTGCCGTGTAACCCCAATAACGAGCCGTTTCGTGTGGTGGAGCACATCCGGGCCCGACTGGGCACAAAATCAGGTCAACTTCACCGGTCGGAGAGGTGGCTGTTGCGGACCAGTGCTTGGCGTATGATTCACGGTAACCATCACGCTCAAGGCACAGCTGTGAAAAAAAAAAATTTTTTTTGTTGTCAGTTGGACTATGATTTATTTACCGGTGCGAGTGGGTTGATACAGACCTTCCAATATTCCGCCATGGTATGCGGTTTGACCGTGGGCTGCTCGTGAATAATAAATTTCGTTAACGGCAGGATGGGTTCACCAGATGCCTTCAGCAAATTAAGGACATCTTCACCTCCGTCCGGGAAGTATAGAGCGGAAACGATATCCCACGCTTCGGAGTGGTTCAGCGGCACCCAATCGACGACTTCCATCCCAGCGTTTCGACATGCATTGGCAACTTCTCGGAGCGCACGGAGCACTGGAGGATGCGGTTTAACAACACCATCGTCCCATTCAATAGCGATTTTCAGAGGCTTCGTTAAGGTGACTGGCGTCCATGGGATGGGGGTCAATGATGGGTCCCTACGCCAGGGCTCGCCATCCAATGCAACTTTCATAAACAGATCGATCGCTTCTCGACTCGTGCAGAGTGGGCCGTAAGTTGCGAGGATACTGTCGAAACCAGCCATTCCAGCCTTCTTGCCTTTGCCGGAAATCCGCGTGCAGGTCGGTTTAAAGCCGTATACACCGTTGTTGCTCGCGGGACAACGGATACTACCTCCAATATCACCGCCCACGCCCTTTTGGGAGTTTTAGTATTGAGCGGGTTCACGACTTTTTCGCGACGATATTTGTGTTTGTTGTAACTCACCAAAACACTCCCCCGCATTGCAACTAGAGCTCCTTCACCGCCGCTGCTGCCTCCTGAGGTGAGATTGCGGTTGTGGGGATTGACAGTCCTGCCGTATATATTGCTTGTGCATTCCAGATGCATAAGGAGCTGGGGGCCGGTGGTCCGAACATAGAACACACAGCCGGCATCATAAAGCGTATCATTCAGAAACCCTTCATCTGAGGGATGGTCGATCCAGCTGACGGTGGAGGCGTTGCATTTCTTACCTTTCATACCATGATGCTCTTTGATGGAGATCGGCAGCCCATGAAGAGGCCCTATAGGTTGGGTTAGGGAATCGAGATATTTCGCTCGCGCAATAGCCTCATCCCACATAAGTTCCGTAACACAGTTAACCTGTTTTCAAGACAAGGATTGATCAGCGGCACCGCAGCACCACGTACTATATATATAGTACGAAGGGGAGAAGGGCAATGGAGTGAGAGAGGACACGAACTGCATATTGAGCAACGGCAGCTCTGCGGAGGAATGCTCTGGTTAGTTCTTCAGAGGTAATCTCCCTGGCGCGTAGCATACGTAGAAGCGCAATGGCGTCGTAATTCTGGGTGAGGTCATGTTCGCGAGCCGTGAGGAGTTGCTTGGCCAGGTCTATTGAGCTCAATGGCAGCGGATCAGGCAACGGGACAAGCGGAGGGTCGACCCTGGCGAGAGTCGCATCGCGGTAATCGCGAACTGTCCGGGCCTTCTCCTCCCAAGATTCAATCGCCATTGCAAGCCACTTTTTTATGCTATTAAATTATGGCTCTGGGGTATACGCACACTCGGATAATGTGTGTTTAGTGGTTTGGGTAAGTTAATCCCGTTTAGGTAGAATGAAAACGATTCTATGCAGAACGGGGTTTATTATACTGGTGAAATAATAAAAGGACCCTTCCGCAGCATGCGCTTCAATCAATTCCCCTCATCCTGGTGATCGTAGTGCCACTTCCACATCTCTTCGCCCCGGTTATCGGTGGTTCATAGGCCTGAATGCCCCTCATTTTTTTGGGCGATGGTTCGGCTCCAATCAGCCGTGATCAAGCTTCGGGACACAGCTCGGCCCAGAGCATCAACATGTCGCAGGCCAGTTAACATTTGGCACATCGAGAATTTGCATGTCGGCATGGGTTGATACGTGCTGTTAGTGTGTAGCACAACCTTTGCTGGGTGTAAATAACCCAATTCAGAGTCGAACGGAACGGTGCGCGGTTTGTATCCCCCACCCTTGAAGCATTCATAACCAAACGATGAAAAGGAGGATGTGGGGTAATAGTTGTGGTATAACCACGCCAATTGATTCCACGTCAAACCAATTAGCATTCCGTTTTATGTGAAGACATGATTTTTGATATGGCGATGGGACCAACGGTGCAAGCTCAGTAGTCTAACTGACAACCTTAATCCCATGGAAGGCTTCGACACAACTCCTGAAAACTCACAAAGATCATGATCAATATTTAAATTTCGGTTTCGCGATTCTCTCAATATCATGGCCCTACCGTGAGCAACTTTTATTCCTTGACTGATCAGTGACTTGCTACACCTACGGTTTTAAACCATCCTCATTCTCAAAACTCCCGTCACCAGCCCTGGGGAATCTAGTACCATTAAGTAGAAGCCTATTCGTACCTCTTAACAGATATTGAACGATCTAGGGAATCCTATTCTCATAGGTTTCCGTCTAGTAGTTGTTGGGCAACTGCCCCTTCACAATTGGTATCATATCATATCATACGAGAAAATTGGGTTATATGGACTAAGTTGCCCACTAACGTTCTGCACGTGTATGCATGGGCCTCTATGATGCAAGAGATTCTCCATACACTTAACCCTTTCAGCCACCTGTTATGCAAGCTGTTGTAACCCAGCTCCTCCGGCCATTGCGTGCTTCCACAGCACTACTAGTTTCTTGTTTCAAGACCCGTGGCAGCGTAACTCACATGGCAGATCTCATCAAGCAAAGTTTCTTTTGCCAGATAGAACGTTGCTAAAGAAGAATACATCATATGCAATGAAGAGAAAAAATGCAGAAGCAAGCCTTGTATATCCCACAGAAGATCAAGCGAGAAGAGCTCTCGAAATCACAGAAGAAGTTTAAAGCAGACCTGGAGACACAGGGGGAGACGCAGGGGGGGAAGGAAATATTCGAAATACTCATGAGTCACATATCTAGCCCCATTCCTACAGCGTGTTTGATCATCCTGTGTTTCATATTTGATGGTACTCAGAACAGTAGCCATGACATGACCGATATCATCCGGGCTGAACCTCTATTCCCAGGAAAAGCACCATGGCTCCGACGGTGACAATGGAATTTTCTAATTCCTGCCAGTGTTGCCAAGGTTTGCCAGCAGAGCGGTATCAGTTCGAGAATGAGAACGGAAAGTAGATGTAAAAGAAGAAAGGAATGAAGGAAGGAAATGAAAATGAAAATGAAAAAAGGAGCAATCGGACGCTCTGACTCCTGTTTCAGAAGGGACTGGCGGACGTTAACGATGCACATCTGGTCCGGAGGCCAGGAGGCATGGATAGTGGGAGAAGATTCACCAAGGTGTTCTGCGGATGATACCATATAGCTGCTGATGTACAACTTTGCTATCTGGAAGAAGGGGCAACTCATCTATGGTCCCTCGCGTACATGTTTGGAATTCGAGTCAGAATACGATGTGGCCTGTCTCTTCACACCCGCTATTTTTGTGAAACCTTTTCTTATGCTTGTCTCATCGGAGGTTTGCTGAGCCACGGAGCACCCTAGGAAAGCTACATAGTGGCTCATAGAATTGGTATAGAAACCACTTCAAAGTCTACTCAGGCGTACCGGTAAACATCATATTTCCGGTGTGGACTTCGCCGAAAAACGAAGCTAAGAAGCAGCTCACTTCGGGATAAAGGGAGGCATCTCAACAAGCCAAAGGGAAAATGAAATTCTTTGCCGTGCCATCATCGTCCTCTGGCCTGGCCAGGGGAATGGTCCGATTGAATGAGGGCATTCTGTAAAACAGGACGCATTGACCTCTCCTGCTGTAGATTTTGAAAAAAACCCTGAAATTTTGTCCAGTTGAAAGTTGCATTCTGTCCCACGGGCCATGCTGGGATTGTCTGGCACCGATTCCTCCGCCACACTGGACACAAATCTGAGTTTATCTGTAGAGTTAACAGGTTTGAAGACGGAAACATTGGCCGTTTCTGAGTTCACTTTCAAGGTTTGAAGTCGTAGAAACCAACATGCATCCGCTCAAGCAGCCAAGCACAGTATGCACCATTGATCAGACGCGCCATAAGTGAAAGGATCTTATGCCCAAACCACCCCGTAGTCAATGCTGAACTCATTCAAGTTGATGTCCCGCGATCCCAGCATCTATCCTTGGAGAGGGCGTTGCAGCGTTTGGAAGATTCCATCCCAGCGGCTCCCACGGTAACAAGACGCCGCTTAGTACTATTACTCAGCATCCGCCCTGCCGTGGTTCCTAACAGCCAATTTGCCCCAGGCCCATTTCCTCCCCCGCGCAAACAGCCCTGGCTTGATCTGCAGCGCTGTATATCCTGTCCCCAATCGCCGGTTTGCCCCCTCTCTATCCAAAGGAGCAAATATATTATTGTCAGGCTTGTTGCAGATGGCCTCGATCGGACAGTACGATGATTCCACGCTGAGCGGGAGCTCAGCAACTCATGGTACGTATTCAATATTTATACATATATGCTAGTGTTTATCTATGCTCTTTGCTCTATGGAATCCCCTCCAGCTCCGGGTTTTTGTTTTGTTTTCATTTTCCTATTTTTCCCTCTTGAATACTTTACTCCCATTTATTATCCTCAAAATCTCTTTGCCTTGTCCGTCGCAATTGCGTTTGCCTATGTTCTCGCATTGCGCAAGAGTTGTTAGCGATATTTCCCATCAGAGCTGTTGTCAGCCTAACACGCTTCATCTCTTTCTATATGAATTCCTCCTCCTCATCTCATATTCTGCCCCAAATCTTTCATTGATTTTTTATATTTCTATATACTAGTATATACGCCCCCAAGCCCAACCTTCCTTATATTCCAGCACAACTCAAAAGGATGTTTGAGCTTTCGTTCCGTTTGAGCCCTCTCTGTGGCCAGCTTTCTATTCAAGCAGCATTTGCTCACTTGTTTGCGCTTTCGTTTTCCCCTCCGTGGGGCCATGGGGACACTGTAAACGGCGTTCTGCTCTTCTTTCATCGCGGAACTGAAATGCTGTTTACCCGTCTCTCAGGGTCCTCCACTGAAGGGCAGAAACGGTTGCGTGATGTTGCAATAGGAACCCAACACACAACCTCAAAGAGCCCATCACTCGTGAACATGTCCTTCCTGAAAAACTTGACCGGTCAGAAGAAAATTACGCGAGGTATACAATCCAAGGCGTTGATGACACACATACCAATTGCCCTATGCTAGAGATGGCACTAATGCGACGGACAGATGGAATACAACCAAAGCGCAGAGGGCCAAAGCCAGATAGCAAACCTGCACAAACACGGCGACAAGAATTAAATAGACAAGCTCAAAGGTACTAGCAGTCATTTTCGCGGAATAATACGGAAAGTTTGGCATAGTACGGCTGTGCTGACTCGATACCAGGACACACAGAGAGCGGAAAGAACAGTATATCAGAGCATTGGAGACGGAGATTTCACGATTAAGAGAATCCTACAGCAACGATATGTCGGCCTCAAATCTATCAATCCACGCATCCAATCTATCAATTCAACAACAGAAGAAAGTCTTACTGGAGCAGAAGGAAGAGAACGCGATGCTCAGACAGATTCTCACGGTACATGGCATTTCCTTCGAGGCGGAACTTGAAAGACGAAAAGCTGCCCTTCGATCCGGTGCCCGACACACCCATACACACACCTTTGGCGGCACTGTTGCTCATTCCCATCCACAACCCCATGCTCCGTCGCAAGCAGCCTCTCATTCGGTCTCGCAGGATCTCATGGGAGATGCGAACTACCCCATTGCTACGCCTCCTACTACGGCATCCGCCGTGAGCCCTCAGAATGGTTCTGATTATACAGATACACAGGGTGGAAGAAACATTATTCCTTCATATTCGGGATCTCAAGGGTTCCAAAATGAGCAGCCCGGTGTTCCCGCAGAATCAAATGCTTGGGGAGGCGATAGTTTGGTAGTGGACGACATACCGGGTATTTTTGAAAAGGAGCCGCAGTTGGGTGTTGAGTTCATCCTCTCGTAAGGAAGAGAGCAACCCCAACCACGTAAATCCTGCGTTGCGTGGCTAAACGCTTCATTTTCAACTAACGCTGATGCACAGCCTTGAAGAATCCTGCCGAACTCATATGGAATTTCTCTGCAGGCGAGCTGAGGACGACGAGGGCTCCGAGACGATATCCGGACACGCCTTAATGGCATCCTGCCCGCCCCCGACCCAAATCGTTTCCACAGAACCGGGTCAAATGTACCCCGTCCGGACTTACGATCTACCGTATCCAAATCTAGCAACACTTCTCAATTTAAGCCGCCAACTTGTCACAGATGGCCAGATCACTCCCATCATGGCGTTACAGTATTTGAAAAGCCACGACATGTATCCGTCATTGACACGAGAAGATGTGCAGAATATGATGGACGACCTTAATAGCAAAATCAGATGCTACGGGTTTGGCGCAGTGATGGAAGATTTCGAGTTTATGGACTCGTTCAGCAGCGTGATAGCGAGGAAGCTGGAGCCTCTCATGGATGCTGACCCTGACGATTCCATAGGCCTCCCAGCCGCGCCCAGGAAGCTTTCGTCGGACGGTCTGATGTATTCTTGAGACAAGCGGAGGGGAATGGCGGAAACCATTTTTGGGCGATATCTTACTTCTACATAGAAGAGGTTGACCGCACGCTAAAATGGGAATAGAAACAGGCAATTTCACGTGAAATTGTATTGAGTTTCCTCTTTGTATATTAATTTGTTTTACATTCTCTTTTCTCCTCTTTTTGTGTTATCTTTTTGACTTTTTGATTTGTTTATCTGTTACTCCTGTACTGCGTATGTCTGTTTTTGGTGTTTTATTAGCTCGTTAGTCAAGATAAAGTCTAAGCATTCAGGACGTTCTGGCTCTCGATAGTGTCTACTAGCTTTTTAAGGCAGTAATATATTACGCGTGTATTTTACAGATCTGTACACCCAACCTTAAATATAGGCGTTATGTAATCATGCCAAGACTTTCTCCCACATCGAGATATTAAACAAAAAAAAAGTCCGAAATTCAACAACGACGACGAGGACGACACCACAGCCGTCCCATCTACTCAACAACGGCACGTCGAAGAAGGACAGGAACCAGACATCATCATGGGTCCCGTTTCAATTGCAGATATCGTCGCATCCCTCCCTTCGGAGGACTCCTGGGGCCCTCCTGTGACGACTGAAACCACTCTCGATGGTGTTCCTTACGCGCCCTTCTCAAAAGGCGATAAGCTAGGCCGGATGGCAGATTGGGCTACAGAAGGGAAGGACGGAAGAGATGGGCGTGGTGGTAGACAAGCATATAACCGTATCTACAGAGGTTTGTACACTTGAAATATTATCATTATTATTATTATTTCCCTCCATAATTTTCGATATTGCCAGTTTGATAACTCATCCGGCGAAAAACTTCAATAGATCAACAAGTGTATGGTGCTGGGACGTCAAGTCTATTCTCCGTGCAGGTGGCCGAAGATGAGTCTTCCTTCTCCGTCGTCGATAATACGAGATCCTCTACGAAGACTCGTGGATTTGGCCGCGGCGGGGGCACAGTCTTCCGTGGCCGTGGCCAACGAGGTGGCCCGGGGCAACGCGGCCGTGGTGGCTTCCAAAGAGTGGGTGCGGGACGAGGCGGTCAGCCTGGAGGTGATCGATACTATGACAACCGTGGTGGCCGAGGTGGTCGGGGCCGCCGATTTGGGTGGAGAGACTACGACAAACCACAGCGTAACCGTGACAGCTCGGTTCACATCCGCACTGAGTGGAACATGCGGGAGGAGATTGACTTCACGAGACTTGCGAAACTCAATCTCGAGACTCCGGATGGCGAGGATATCGACAATTATGGATTTCTGTACTACTATGATCGCACATACGATAAGCCTCCCGTGAGAAACACGGAACGGAAATTACAGTCCCTTGATCGTGCTGCGTACAATGTCACCACAACCGCTGACCCAATTATCCAAGAATTGGCCGAAAAGGATGAGGCCACCGTCTTCGCAACGGCTGATATCCTTTCCATGCTCATGTGCGCTCCTCGCAGCGTGTATTCTTGGGATATCATTATCATCCAACAAGGCAACAAGATTTACTTCGATAAACGCGACAACGCTTCCATCGACTTGGTGACTGTCAACGAGAACGCTCAAGATGCTCCCCTTGAAGCCTCAGAGGCTGGAGGAGCCAAGCAAGATTCCATCAACACCCCCGGTGCCCTCGCCATCGAGGCCACCGTCATCAACCACAATTTCGCTCTCCAGACTGTAATTGAATCAGAGACCTCCAAGGTCGACTTCGCCAACCCTAACCCATTCTATAACCCCTCTGAAGAGACCGAGCCCCTCGCATCCAAGGCCTACAAGTACCGCCGCTTCGACCTCTCACTTGAGAAGGATGAGGAGCAGCTCCAACTAATCGTGCGCACCGAAGTCGACGCCGTCGTGAAAAACAACATTAGTGGCGATGACCAGTACCTGACCATCAAGGCCCTGAACGAATTCGACCACAAATCCCAAGGCGCCGGCGGCGCGCTCGACTGGCGCACAAAGCTGGTCTCCCAGCGCGGCGCCGTCGTCGCCACCGAGATGAAGAACAACAGCTGCAAGCTTGCCCGATGGGCGACGCAGGCCATCCTCGCCAAAGCCGACATGATGAAGCTCGGCTTCGTGTCGCGCGCCAATCCGAAATCAGCGTCTGCGCACATCATCCTGGGCGTCGTGGGCTACAAGCCGCGCGAGTTTGCGGCGCAGATGAACCTGAACCTGTCGAACGGGTGGGGTATTGTGCGGACGATTGTGGACTTGGTTCGAGGGTTGGAGCACGACGATGGTGAAGACGGCGGTGACGGCGACGTGCGCAAGTTTGTGCTTGTGAAAGATCCGAATAAGCCTGTTATTCGACTTTATCAGGTTCCGGTGAATACGTTCGATGAGGATGAGGATGCCGGGGTTGAGACGGTGAAGGAGGAGAAGGAGTCAGATGAGGATGAGGAGTAAAGGCAGCTAGTAATTTCTTTTTCTTTTTTTTTTTTTTCTTTCTCTTTTTTTTTTTTTTTTTTTAAATTTACTCTTCCTATTTGATTACTTGGTTGATTAAAAGCGTCGTTGACAGGGTAGATGACGCCGTTTAATGACACCTTCTCCTTTAGTTTTCTCAGTTCTACAGCTTACCTCCCCGAATATGTGATAGATGATGGTAATGCCACTTTTCCGTATTTTTATATTCCACGGATATCGGGAAAAATATGAGAAGTTAATGTAAGGGGTACTTTTTTGTTCCTGTACACCCCGGCAGAATGAAAATATATATACATATATATAACGTAGCATGCGCAAAACACCTCCCTAGCTCGAGTGAGAGACTGCGAATGTCACGAAAGAAATCATTATCAGATCCATTAACCATTCAGCTATCCCTATTACTATATTTTCATAAACATTCACCAATATGCAACGCGATTGTAGTCTTCTCTCCTAAATGCGTTTGCCCTCACACAATTTCTTCAGGGAAACAGCAGTGGCCGTTCAGAATATGAGACAGGAAATGAAGGAAATGAACTTGAAGAAGTAAAAAAAGTATATGGGAAAAATACCAGGTAGAAGAATCAATATATAAACATGCATATATATATATATGTCCGCTTGAATATTGTAACAAAGAAACAAAGTCAATCAATATCAGTCAATGGATCAGGCCCAGCATTCATCCCACCATCATACAGATCGCAGCCGTTCAAACACGACTTTTGCGACTGTTTGCCTTTACTTAGCCCCTTCGCTTTTCTCATCGTATATCTCCTCTTGCCTAACTTCACCTTCACAGTGGGCTACCCCGAAGCTAAAAGGAGCCACTTAACAGAAAACATATAGTCGAGAACAAGCAAATTAAGTCGTTTGGGACAACAAGATAGCAGCATAATACGCCAAATAAACCCATACCGGTTCCATCAATCATTCATAAATGGATAAAAGTTATATAGTAATATAAGTAAGAAAATAGAAAAACAAGGAGCTCTCAAAACCCAACTTAGCGAAGTCAAGAGAAGGGAAAAAGTGACAATAGAGCTACAGATAGTTAACAGGGGAGGATGCAGAAAGGGGAAAAAATATAGAAAAAAGAGAAAAGAAAGGTCACGAGTCCCAGTGAAGTCGCAATCACAATAAGTACCTAATCCAATTCGAATCCAGACAGAACAAAACAAATAAAGAGCAGAAAAAGAGGACAGGAAAGAAATGAAATTCATATCATGATATATCGTCACAAATCACATCGTAAAGAGAAAGCGGAGGCGACGACAAAAAATACAACAGCACAGGACGGCTGATCTAGAGATCGAGATGATAAACATTTACCGTGTATCGATCATTGTAGAGTAGATAGAGCAAACTGAACCCCCCAACCAAACCCTGCTCTCTACTCTAGTCTTAATCATCATATCATGACCGGCGTATCCAATCTAGCCCCCTCAGCCTCCTCTCCCTACTTTTCTCGCGCCGTTTATCACGTTCGGATGCACGCGGCGTAGCTTCAGACTCGCCATCGGCCACGCGATGATCGACCATACCAATACCAGCCGCAGCACCATATGTATCTGGCGCAAGAGTACTACGCGCCTTTCCTGGGTTAAACCCGCTCATCGTAAGTGAAGTCGCGGGGCGCGGTGTAACATCTTCACCAGGAGAATCGGCTAGGTTGGTGGTGACGACGGGAGTGCGCTGTTGTTCAGTGGTGTTGGGTGGGGTTGTTGTTGTTGTTGTAGCGGCGGACCCAGTGGTGATTGGTAGTGATGTTGAGACTAAGGGTGGGGTGGTAGATAGGGTTTGTGGGACCTGTGATGTAGCCGTGTGCAGGGGATGAGATTGAGAAGTGGGATCTGGTCGTTGCTCTGCCAGAGCATCGGAAGCCGCTTGCTCCGACTCCACGTTTCTAGATTCTGAATGCGGTGAATGTATTTGAGGACGTGATTGAACAACAAAGGTTGTTCTCGTGGTGGAAAAAGGATCAGTAAATGCAGATGATTCCTCCTGCTCCCTATCCTCCAGCAAGGTTTCCAAGCCATCATCCGCAATTTGTAGGTCAGCAAGAGTTTCCTCCACGGCGTTAACGCTCGGACCCGGTGCACCAACAACTAACGACTGTGTCGCCTCGCCATCTGGAGCTGTGCTTCCGGGAGTAATAGCAGTAGGGGCCGGAGCATCCACCCCAGCACAACTACCACTCAAAACCTCGCCAGCATCACTAACAACACTACCACGACTATTTGTCCGCATCATCTCCGTCCCCAATTTGGATCCAGAGCGCTTTCCCTTCTCCCGGGCACCCAGAGGACTCTTTAGCCGGCTCTGCGAATTGGAAATGCCGAGCTCCTCGTCCTCATCATCACCAGATTCAGCGCCTTCATACTTCCTCCGCCCATGTGATTCCCGCTTCGTGCGAATGTCTTCGACAGAAGGCTGATTGCGCTGGGTAACCACACCCATGCCTGCCGCGGGAGTTGTCATTGCCATGGAAAGAACTGTTGAGGGGGCGGATGCTGCATGGGGGACTGTTGGAATCTGGGGTGGCGAGGACATGATGATGGGAGCTGATCTTGGGATGTTGGGCTCATCAGAGATACCAAGACCACCACCGCTGCCACCACACTGGGAATTTCCCCAATCGTCCGTGGCCTGCCGGCTGATGATGACGGGCAATTCTTCCTGTTTCATGGACTCGACATCGCCAAAGTAGCTGCTGCCAATGGAATCTTCGCGACTGGAGCCGCGGTAGGAACTTGTAGGGACAGCCACAAAGCTGGATGACATGGAACTTGGGCTGCCTTCTGGTGGCATCATTGAGGATGCCAGGCGGGAGCTAGCTGGTGCTAGAATGGGATGATGGGCTGTGAGGCTGAGTTGGTGATCTTTCGGCGGGGGTTTCCACTGGCAAAATTTGTGTAGGGTCTCAGTGAGTTTAGAAAGAGTTGGGGGTTTCTCGATAAGCGCATCGAAGTGGTGGGTTTCCGGAAGGTCTTTGAGGTAGCCAGTACAGCAGATGATAGGAGTATGTGTATTAACGCTCTTGGTATCGCGGATCATACGCGCCACATCTGCGCCGTTGAGCTGTGGTAGTTTGAATTCCATCATGATGATGTCGAATTGGACTTCGCTGAGCGCATAGCGCATGGCCTCCGATCCGTTGACAGCGGTGATTGTGCGGCATCGTAGCTTTTCAAACAACCTTTCCATAACCAGTTTCGAAACAGGATGATCCTCGCAGATCAGAACATCCAGGGGACGGAAATATGGGCCCTCAGCAAGATTTATCTGTGACATCCGTCGGGAACTCTGCCGTCGTCTCTGGACCTTCAGAAGAGCCTTGGCCTTGGTTCGTGGATCTTCATTATCAGACGATGAGGGTGAAATATCAAACAACTGGCTCCGGCGCTTATGGTGCCCAGGTGCAAAAGGCTCTTTAGACGGCGCAGCTTCGCTATCCTGAGAACCAATAGTCTGCGACCTCGATCGCGAAGTCGGCGCACTACTCTGGCGCGGCTGGGAAGGACCACCCGACTTATCAGGAGAAGGCGTTGCCGGCTTCACATACTTAACAGGTGATGAGGTGGCAGAAGTCGACATCATCTTAAAACTGGTTGATAAACGTGGAGGTTCAGGGTAACTCCCAGGCGGCAGTGATCCGCCGGACTGATGGGAAAATGACGAGGAACCGGATGTCTTCCTTCGTTCATGATGCTGGCCCGTACTAAACTGTACTAGAAGGGGTGATGAAGGCTGTGAAAGCCGACTGGGGGACGAAGAATTCGCCTGACTAAGACTGGATGGCGATCCTGGACGATTTGTAGCTTTGTTCTGCGACAAGGTCCTTTGCAACGGCATTGGTAATAGAGGACTCCCCTCCAGCGATGGACCAGAGCTGGACGCAGATGTATTCGTTGGGATTTGCCTTTGCTGTGCCTGCATGGCCTCCATTCGTAGTTTCTGAATGACATCCTTATTCGCCCGTTCCAACACAGGCAGGTTCTTGAAATTAAAATTCCCAAAGTCATCCGCTAGAACAGGTTCGCTAAGTCGTCTACTTCGAGTATCGCGTACATGTGGCGGGATATGGAGCGGCATCAACCCGCGTTTCAGAGAATTCGCCTGCGTGCGAACTTTGTAAAGAGCATCGTGGGGTCTATCAGGATAATCCGGTCCTCCTGTAGCGGCGGGAGGAGAGAGCTGATCTTCCAATTCCTCCGTAAAAGATTGAAGTGTCGCGCCGCGGGCGTCGAAGTACTCCGTATCCTCCGGATTCTCCGGAGCGGGAACAAACTGCGCTTCATCTTCCAACAACGTATCCCAGTTGATATCCGCGAACCATGGATGAGCCCGAACTTCAGCACCCCCATTGAGGAATTTCTCAGATGCGTTCGAGCCAAGTCGTTCCTCTGGATTAATCGTCATCAACTTATTCATGAGATCTTTTGCTTCGGGCGTCACCAGCTCATCAGCTTCTTCAGGCCAATTAATTCTGCGATTGAGGATATTCTGGAAGACTTCGTCCGGGGTCGACGCGTTGAAGGGGGGATATCCGTAGAGGAATTCAAACAGTATACAACCAAGAGACCACCAATCGCTCATCTCATCCTGCCCAACACCATTAATAGTTTCCGGGGCAAGATAATCAGGAGTCCCGACGAAACATCGATTATGATCCTCCGGGTCGAAAAGGGCCATGGCGGGAGGCATCAAAGATTGCTGAGGCGGAGTACTATGCTGACCAGACACCGAGGATGTAGGATAGCTGGTACCCGTCTGTAAAGGGAACAGGTGCGGAGAATCGCTTCCTTCACTTTGAGTCTCTTCCTCGGCGAGGTGGCCCTGTTGTTGCTGTGGTTGTGGAGGAGGGAATGACGGTTGTGGTTGAAATGACAAGGGATGCGGTGTATCGCCACCTTCATACAGTGAAAACCCCCGAAACATCCCTGTCAAACTGTCACTACCGCCGCTATCACTTCGATGCCCGGAAGCTCGTCTCGACGTCTCCCGATTGAACGACGGCTCCTTATTCAGGCTGAAATAAGATGGTTGGTTCATCAGCATAGGAACCTCGGGAGTCATCGAGGGAGTAGAAATTGGCGACTGAGTTGATGGAAAATCAAACGAGGCCGAGCGCGACGAGGTCAGTGACGTTGCGCGAGTAAAGGGTCCCGTCTTAAGCAAATCCGGTGCGGGCTCATTCGGGTTTTTGAGAATTCGCTTTTGACGGCCAACGAGTCCCATACGCGAAAGGCCAAAATCAGTTAACTTCAAATGGCCCGTTGGTCAATGAGGAGGTTATCCGGCTTTAGATCGCGGTGGACAATGCCCCTCTCATGAAGATGTTCAATGCCGAGAACCACCTCTGCAACATACTTCTTGGCCCAGTCTTCTGACAGGCCACCGAGAACTTTGACCAGAGATGCACAGTCGCCGCCGTTTAGGTATTCCATAACAAGGTACAAATAATCCTTGCTCGAGAAAGTCCAGTAGAGCTTCGCGACAAAATCACTCTCACCCTGCCACATCATGATCGCCCGTTCAGCCTTGACGTTTGTAACCTGATTCTTGACAACCATATCTGCCTTCTTCAAGACTTTAATTGCAAAGTACTCAGCAGTTGATTTCTTCTTAGACAGGTAGACACTGCCAAATGCGCCTTTGCTAATCGGCTTGATGATCTCGAAGTCTTTGATAGAAGGAGCAACCGCCCGTGGGGGTGGCGGATGACTTACAGAGCTAAGATGCGGTGAAACAGGAGTCTTTCCCAGGTCAGGAGAAGTGGCAGACGACAACCTACGATGATGGTGGGGAGGTGGTGGATAATATGGATGCGTATTTTGGGTAGCAAGCTCAGAGTTACTGAGCAGCGGCGACGTCATTGGCGATGTGAAGCTTTCGCCCATAGATAACCGCGGTTTGGACAATCGAAGCGGGGAATGTGGTGGATTTCGGGCGGGGGATTCTCTGCGTGGAGACACTGACATACCGGGTAATATAAGACTTTGACGTTTACGGTCCTTGGAGCTTGTGGTACGACTTAATCCCCGTTCAGAGGATGGAGATTCGGTCCGTCGTGCACCAGCGAAAACCGATGACAGTATGCTGCTATCGCTATCCCCCGCGTCACTTTCAGCGAGTAATGAGCCTCTCTTAGATTGCTGCGACTGGCTTAACAAACCGCCAACACTCCTATGCGAGCGGGGCGTTGGGCACTCCATTGGACTACTGGAGCGGGTCGAGACAGCGACAGACGAAGGTTGTGGTCTCTCCGACTGGGAAGCAGAGTGTAATAGAGGTTCTGAGCCGACTCGTAACGTAGTAGCTATTGCAGACGGAGCAGGCAACGAGGATGGCTGGGATGACAAGTTGGACGGTGCATCGAGGACCTGAGACCGTGTTGAGCATTGGCCGTCATCCTGCAAATCTCCCACAACGCTATGGCATGAACCCGATGAATCGCTTAGTTCCCCAGCAGCAATGCGTTCCGCTTTACTCATCGCTGCGGAAACACACTCCTCAACGAGAACTGTAAATTCGACGCGAATACGCTCACTATATTCTACAATCTGACGATGGCGAAACACAGCATCCACCTTGGCACGGGCAAAGCGCTCAGTGTCCGCGGAGAGCGCGGCCAAACCCTGTTCTTGATCAAGAGTATTGCTACTGGGAGATTGCCACTGCAAAACCTGTGATATCCGAGATTCTGACTGGGGAGATTGTGTTCGAATTTCCTCACCGACCTCGGTTCGCGCTTCTTTAAGTGCTGGGGTATTAATTTCCAGGGCGGTATCACAAAGATCCAAAATCAATTCCACGATTCGCGCAAGCGGTCGTCGAACAGCAAAGGAAGAGCGTGTGCGAACATGTCCTCGACCTGATGTTGATGGATCACGTGAGAGTGGTGGTGTTCCTGAAGAGGATGACGAGCCCGAAGTCAAGCCTGAGGAAGGTATGGAGGGTCCAATGGGTAAATTCTTATACTCTGCTTTAGGCCCTGCGAAGGGGCTCGAGTCTCCCGAAGCTGACCTGCTTTTGCGAGCTTCTAAAGCATCCAAGACCTTAACGATGGAATGGCGATGTTCATTCAAATTGTCCTGCGCCATCTGGACCTCCATCTCCGCCCCATGCTCTTGCAAACATAGCTCTGAATGTTTCTCGAACCACCAAGAAGGGATTTGGCGTTCGCAGATTCGACATAGCACTTGCGGGAGAAAAGGTACATGGGAGGGATCTCGAGATCCAGCTTCCGCGAGAGCGGTCAGGTAATTGGCAAGTACTTCTGCGCCAACGCCGAGTGACTCGACGAGGAGTGGAGGAAGATCGATTGTAACTTCCCGCGGCTGGGTAGATGGACGAAGCATCCACATAGTCTAGATAGCATCAGCAACCTGGTTATTGCAACACTCCCAAGCCTAATAGAAGATAAAAGCACAGAATACTTACATGACTCTCCGTGCTAGGGGATCGGTCAAAAACCATAATCCCCTGGCCCTCGAGATTCAAAATATGGTCGTCTTCATCGCTCTCACTTTTTGTCTCTTTCTCCTGGGCCTGAACAACATCAGTCAATTCCTCTTGCTCTTTCTCTTGCCCATGCGCTTCGGCTTCCCCTCTCGCTCCGCCTTCTCCTCTGCCTCCCCTTTCATCCTCATCACCCGCCCATTCACTTACACCCTCCCCGTCCCCCTCCCCCTCCCCCTCCCCGGTCTCCCGCCTGAGGAATGACGCCGGCCCAGTCCTCACCGCAAATCTAACAATATGACTCTTCGAATCATCAATTTTCATCCTCTCAATCGCATGCTCAAAAGCCTTTTTATTATCCAGCAGAAGCTCTGAAATCAACAAACCCTCAACATCCTCGACGTTCGTGCCCACCACTTCCTTCCACGACGGGCTAACCCACCTAATGCGCCCATCCAGATCGAGATCGACGATGACATTCAGTGTCTGCTCGGCGGCTTCCTTGAGGTCTTGGCGTTCTTCGCGGATATTTTCGCTGATCGTGCGGGACATTGGTTGCGGAGAGGGACTGCCACTGCTGGTATCGCGAGCTTCCTGACGGAGAGCATTGACGGCCGGGGGCGCGAGGAAGCGATAGGCGTTGGGAGAGGGGTTTGGAGTGTTTTCGGGCCCATTGTCAGCCATTGTAGACCAAAATAGACTATATATGGCAGGGGGACCAGTTGTTGTTGTAACGTTTCAATTCCTTGTGAATAAGGGATAGTATTGGGAGCTATCAGTCATTCGACGTATAGATGAAGTACAATTCTTTCGTCACGGTAGGTAGATTGTTGGTGTGTCGCGCGGGGCGGGGTGGTTATGCCGCTGTGTCTCTGCGGGGGCACTCGGAGGAGGGGTGAGTGGATGGCCCAACGGAAATGAGATAGGTATTAAGTTAGGCAGATAGGAAATGATGGAATCACAGCAAGAGAGGACTGCCTCTGACCAGGCCGGCTAAAGCGGTGCCCGGAAGCAGCGTTATAGCCTCATCCGTGAGCATCAACTATCCATGACAAGCATTGAACCCAGAGCTGACGGAGCAGGAAAACACTGTATAACGAAAAAGAAGGGCGCAAGCAAAATGGGCGCAGAATCGTTTGATGTCTCGTTGCCAGCTGGGAAATATGGATAGGCCAAGTTAATCGAAGGTTTTGAAGGGGGTAAATGGGTGGATCGAGGGATCTGATCGGGTTACAGATATGATCTCAGCAGCTAGCAAACGAAGGGGTTTGCTGAGGGAACGCTGCCTTTTCTTTTCTCCTCACTTGTGCCTCTTATTGTCTCAATTCTCGCTGATATGTCTCCTACGCATAGGATTGTTCTTCTTTGAATTCCTCGTCGTCTCTGGATCCCTTGCTCGTTGTTAGACGAAGTCGAGCAGTGTCGCTCCCCCTCTGAATGAAACAGAAGAGGTCACAAGGCGATGGATGGTGCTAAGTCCATCCACCTAACGGTCGAGATTCCTGCAGGTTATCTGTAGGTTTATGTGTAGGTCCCGCCTGTAGCCAGGTAACTTATTGGAATAATGCCCACGGCAGACACGCAGGGCAGAGATTCGCTATTCAATCAGTAGAGGCGATGGATGGCTGAGTAGGACGCGGGGAAGCACAATGAAACGAAACTAGTCGGGGAACACAGTCTCAACAAATATAAGGTAAATAGATATACAACGAATAGTTAAGAGGAAGATATAACGGCCAGGATATCTGAACCACAGCGCTCGAGCGCAGACACAGTCACTGAATGTGCGAGATCAAGGACTAGGACAAGGTGTATGTATGGTATTGTATCCGCTGGTGTTGTTCCAGGCTGCCCCAGGCAGAACAACACAAAGCACTGCCAAGAAACGGTACGCGGTGTGTAAGCTTGGTAACGCCGAATTGTCGTGGAAATAAGGAGTGTATAAATCATGCAAGAAACAAGCATGCTTTGCTCGCTCTGCCTGCTGTGGAGCATTATAATCAGTTGTATAATACATTTAACAATAGATGAGCTGTATTCCGTTGATCTCCTTTATATCAATGTTGTATATATTCCCTCAATTTCCATAGAAAAGAGCGGTAAATAAGTAGTCAGAGGAATACAATCAACTGCAGCTATAGAATTTACTTGATCATCTAATTTAGAAAAAAAAGTCACAGTAAAAGAAAATTTCATTGAGGAGAATAAGAATAAAAAGTAAAAAATAAATAAAATTACAAAGTAAAATTAAAGACAAGAGAAACGGAGAGAAAATCCTACAAATCCTTCTTCGACTCAGACGCCTGCTCCCTCTCCAACACGGTCCCCACAGACCTAACCACCCCCTCCTCCAACGGTACAACAGGCATATACCCAAGCCGTCTCTTCGCCTTCTCACACGAATAATACCGCGTCATACACGAGAACCGCACCTCCTTCCTCGACATCCGCGGCTTTTTCCCAAACAGCCCAAACATCATCTCCAACAATCCCCCAACAACCGTTAGAGCCCCTTCCGGCAGCGCAATCGCCTTCTCAGGTTCGACTATCTTGCCCATCAGCGCCCAGACGCTCCGCGCCATATCCCAGAAGTACACGGGGCTGTCGTTGGTGATGTTGAACGCCTCTCCGTCGACGCGTTCGTGGTCCAGCGGTGATGCAGCCCCGGATTCTAGACGTTTAAAGGTGGCCAGGAGGTATTGGGCTGCGAGCATGTGACCGTAAGCGACGTTGCCTGCATAGGTAAAATCGAAAAGGTTGTCGTTGTTGCCGAGCTGGAATCGGAGGACGAATGGAGAGGATTTGCGGGCATGGTCGGTCAGGCCTTTGGTGAGGGTCGTGTCGCGCTCACCGTAGATACCGGCGGGCCGGATGGCTGTGGTCAGCATTCCTGTTGGCGAGGCTTTGTTGAAGTTCAGGACTAGAGTTTCGGCTTGGGCCTGGAACAAAATAATATGTTTTAGAGTTGAAATCGATATTCATATCGTGCTAATGAGAGAGGAAAGGGGGAAATAAAAAATGAAAATGAAAGAACTGAAGACCCACCTTCGTCTCTGTATAATACTCATACTGCAACTTCCCCGTGATCAACGGCCATTTCTCATCCGCCCGAATCAAATCGCTATGGCAATCATGTACCACAGACGATGAGCTCGTATACACAAATGCCTTACACACCCCGCCCCACTCACCCTTTAAACCCCCCGCAACCTCCAGCAAATTCCTCGTCCCATCCACGTTGATGCGATACAACAATTCCGGCATCGACTGCATTGGCGGTGGAGAGACAGTATGGATCACAACATCCGGCTTCACCTTCCGAAACACCTCGAGCAACTGCTCGACGGACATGATGTCAGCCTCATAGTAATCTGCGCCAGGGTAGCGGTTGTGCAGCGTGCGCAAGTCGAGGACGGAAACTTTAGTGTTTTTGTAGGTTGGGTAGCGGTTGGAGAGCGGAGGGACGGCGAAGCGGGTGTCTAGCTCGCCATTGGTTTTGCGGACCCGGCTTGGGATCATTCGATCCTGTGTGCTGTCACTGTTGCTGCTGGCGTTGGCCTCGGAAGGAAAATTGAGGAGCTGGTCGACAATGTGACTGCCCAAGAAGCCGCAGCCGCCTGTTACGAGGACGGAGCCCAGCTCAAGAGTATTCAGGGTGGCCATGGCTGGCTATCTTCTTTCCTTTCTTTTCTCCTGATTCAATCCTGGAAAATTCAGGGGACGAGTCGCCCGGCGGGTGGGGAAATGGCTGGGGCAACACCAGAGCTGAATTATGTGCGATATGTTCAATGCTATAGATGATGCATTTGGATATACGGTATAACAAAAAAGAAGGAAAGTAGGAGGTTCAACGGGTTAGAATTGTTGAATATTAAACATGTGCTGAAGGAGCTCGGTGTAGGTGGAAAGATCCCGTCAGAGGGCGGTGTAATTTTGGTAATCCGAGACACACAAGAGTTTCTATAAACAGCTTCCATTAAAAACCACTAGTAAACTAAGGAACCATTGCTCTACAGTATGTATGAAGGTGCCAGAAGTGCCAGAAAACAAACACAAGAAGAAAATATCATAGAAAGACAACATGTAAAGAAAAGCCGCTTCTGTAAGAAGAAAATAAGAGAATTCCCATTACCAAACGCATCCCATATTAGAAACAAAGAAAAGAAAAGTGCAAAAAAAAAAAAAAAAAAAAAAAAAAAAAAAAGAGAGAGAGAGAGAGAGAGATAGGTCGAGAAAAGAGAAAGGAAGAGAAGAGGAAACGGAAGACAAGGCAATACAAATTCATGTACCATATGCAAGGATAACATCTTATCATCAAAAAAAAAAAAAAAAACAAAAAGAAAGAACCGGGGATAGAATCCTGCTACATAGTTATTAAAACCTAAACGAGTTCAAGCCTGAAATCTGCGAGGGAATACACTGTCTCTGTGAAAAATGAGGACGAGCAAAAGGGGGGATCTCTACTATGAAACCAACTCAGGAAAAAAAGACTTGTCTAACCTGGCGGCCACCAGCAGCTCGAGCTATGTACTTCAGCACTCCCTATTAATCAATTACAAATCTTTTAGCACTAATGTCGGAACCATACGACACAAGATATTCGGAGAAAGCAAAATAAACAGCAAAATAAGAAAATAAAGGAACTTACTCAACGCCCCGCTGCACAGATCTCCTTAGCAGCCGATTGTACTTCTTCTTATCATCCGCAGAACCCCAGAACAACTTCGACGCCTCTGGATTCACAGTCGTACGCGGGTCATAGGGCGGGGACTCATCCTCCAGCGCCTCCATAATGGCCTCGACATGCGACTTCATCTCCTCCAACTTTTTCGGGAAATAGCACAACACCCCATCCTTGGAAATGCGATTATGGAAGAGTGGCGTCTTAACAATAACCCGCGGCTGTTCATCAGGGAACTTGGGACTCAGGCAGATTCGGATCTGGAAAATTCCACCGTCCAGCTGCGTCATGGGTTTTCCAAAGAAAGTCACGTTCCAGAGGAACGGATTCCCATTCTCGAGGCCCAGGTCGATCATGAAATTTTTCCTATTCTTGAGATCCTCAACGATCTGCTCATACTGGCGCTGGAGGTTGACTGCAATTCTAGTCTCCTTGACTTTCGCTTTCATGCCTTCCGCGGCCCAGCCCTCCGTTTCATTCACGATCGTCTCTTTGATAAATATCAGGCGTTTCCGAAGGTCTGGATAGTAGAAACGGCCATCCATGGAGTTGCCAGGGTTTTCAAAAGGCATCTTTTTGAATATCTGCGATGGCGTGACTTCGGGCTCTGCAGCGTCAATTGCGAGAATGTAGGATTCGAAGTACCAGAGAAATCTGCGTTTGAGGAGATCTTCGAAAGGATCAAAAGCTGGGCGGTCATCTTCTCCAGTCAGGCGGTCCTCTTCTTCTTCCTCATCGTCAACAAACCCAGGAGGGCATGGGGGAAAAATCGTTCCATCCGATTGAATACCAAGAAACTCTTCAAGTCGTTGGATGACTGAAATGCGCAGAGTCTCGTGGCGAATCTAGATAAGATAAACCGTTAGATAATTAGAGCATAATGGCTTGTTCTGCGCGTATCGCTGTGCAGTTACCTTGGCAACATAATGAGCCATGTTTTGTTGGTCCCGGTCAGAGCTGGCGTTCTCAAAGCCAGGTTCGTTCTCATAGGGGTTAGAGGACATCAAACTTTGGATGGAAATAAGGACAGATTCCAAGCCTTGGGCCGAAGACCATTGCTCTCCGCTCTCACCGCGCCATGTCCTTTGCTAAGATTCAGTAAAATTGCTTCGACAAAAACGAAGGCTTTAGAAAGCAGAACATTACCCTAGTATAGACCTATAATAGATAGATAACTCCCTTCGTCAGTCAAGCACAAAACAGAGTATATAAAAGATTTCGAGTCAATGAGATAGTTATTACTAACAAGCAAACCTTCCCAGAAGCGTAGATGTTTGGGTTGTAGCGGCATCTGCCGCCATTTGTGGTTGTAGCATGAACCGTTGGTGGAGTTCCAGGGTAATCTAGATCACAATACGAAAAAAAAAAAAAAAAAAGCTACCTCAGTATTTGACAGGCATCATGTGCATGCACAAACACACAGAAAGATGAAATTCAACTCGAACCTTCAGGGAACTTGATCGAGAACTGCAGGTGATCTGTCAGCAGCTTCCAAGGTTGGTTCGTATGTAATCAAATGGATGCATGGATGTTGGGCTACAAGGCACATGTACAAACCTCGAAAAAACCAAACTCGTATGGAGTTTCAGGGGGACCCACGATCAGGGCCTTGATGCTACGTATATCTGCTTCCTTGCAGGCTACCGCGAGAGCTGTAATGGATAGCACATGTAAGTATTTTTTGAAACAATTCGAGTGAGTACAGTGTTGTGGAGACCGCAAAGCATCACCATCACTACACGGTCTAAAATAAAGTAAAACAAAGTGAACATGAGACTTACACAAGTCCGTGCCATGCTGGATCTGGCTGATTTCCTAATCATATCATCAAGCCCGTTAGAGATCCGAAAAACCCGAGCCATGCAGGACCTATCCAACCATGAAAGGAGCGGGAGGGATGTTTCATACACGGCCAATGCGTAAAATCGCTTGGTTAGACATTTTTTCAATTTTTTTTGCTGCGAGAGCAACTTGACTGCTTGCAACGGGAGGACCCCGCAGCAGAGACCTCCTAGCGGAGGGAAGAAGAAACCGAAGTAAAGTAGAAAGATGTGCTCCAGATAAGGTTAGGGAGTAAGCAAGGTGTGATGGAGAGTTGTGTGAGCAGAGTGTAAGCTCTCCAGTGTTCCAACTGAGTTGTTTTTATTATATCTTGCGTTTGTTTTCTTGGATGTTTCCAGGGCGAGAGTCCAAGATTGGAATAATGAACACACAAATCAAAACACAGTGAAGAATATGTTTGGGTGATACAAGAGAGGGCCGACAGGCTCCTGATTGTAGCCGGACAGAGGCCTGGTAGGTCCCTCTCTAGATCTCTGTGTCAGGAGAGACAACAGATATAGCACAAAGCTCAAGTTGAAGTTCATCCAGTAGGGACAAGACAAACAAGGCAGTCTGGTTTCTTAGTGAACTTCCAATTTCAAGGAAGAGAGTGTGTGTGAGAGGACAGCACAAATGAATAGGAGAGGTTTGATAGAAATCACAGAGTGAAAAGAACGAGTGACATTGAAAATTTCTTTCCTTTTTGTTTCGCTCTGTCTTTCTTTCTTTCCGGGCTAGCCAGTTGGCTGTCCGGGTTCTTGATAGCCTATCCCGTTGTCAGCAGGGAGCGCTACGGCTGGAGCCTGTCGGGTCGTCGCAGACGGGGAGAAACCAGGCAAGCAGTGTGAGTAGACACCGAATGGAAAAACAGCCTTGACGGAGCCTAAACTAAGCCAGAGAAGCCGATCCTGAAGGAGCAGGTCATCCGATGGCTCAACCATTATGCGCAAATATGACGGCAAAGGACACGACGCAGCCTCACTTGGCGAGCTTCATCCTTTGCTTTTGCCGTGCCCAATGCCGCCCTCGCGCGGACAGTCGTCTGAGGCTTATTTCCGCTTGATTGATACTGCCCGACGATGGATGATACGACTATCATCATCCTTACTCTCGAGTTCCGCGTCCATACCTTTACAAATATTGTTACTCGACATGCGGACGGGCTTGCTGGAAAGCTTCCAAAGTCCTTTATTATCTTATCTGAATCACCCAACATGCAACTACAACTGATGTACCCCACGATGGGAGTGCGCCGCAACCGCCAATCCAACCAGTCCGGCACAAAGCACATTGTATACACATAGTTGTGTGAATACCCGTCCTCTCAACATTGCCGTGGATTATTCCAACTCATAGGAAATGCACCCAGCTGAATTCCGGGTTTAAATTTGTTGGCCTAAGTTGTCCACCCCAGTGCTGTCCATGCTTTATTCGGTGGTCAATTTTGACGAGATGCCTAAACTGCTCGACCCCACCTCCAAGCCATCAAATCACCGGTCCTATAGCTCAGTTGGTTAGAGCGTGGTGCTAATAACGCCAAGGTCGCGAGTTCGACCCTCGTTGGGACCAGACTTAGAGTTTTCATTTTTGATTTTTTTCTCCCGTTCGATTTTATTTCCAACAGGCATTCTTATTGTACAGCCTCCTCGAAATAAAATTCTTCAGAAAGGTGTCCGAGTATAGAATTTATGCAACACCTGCATACCAACATAGTAAATAACCCAAAAAAAAAAAAAAGCACCATCTAAATAAAGACTTTGATGGTCCCAACGAGGGTCGAACTCGCGACCTTGGCGTTATTAGCACCACGCTCTAACCAACTGAGCTATAGGACCGGTGATATAATTAAATTCGGCGGTAGAAGTTAACTAACCCTGAGTACTCTATTCTGAATATATCAAACCAGTTTTGCTATAGGGGAATGCATCGAAGAAAAGGAAACTATGACTTGCTCATTTTTCCCAATTATCTGCTTTCCTTTTGTTATCGTAATACTCGGGTTGTCGATGAGCTGGCCACCAAACATACAAGCAATACTCCTCATCCAGTGGTATCTCACTATCGCGGAAACAGTTGCTTGTGCCTCTCAGCACCAAGAAACCCCTATAACGTAGAAGCATGCCACTAGAAACTTATAAATAACGGTATCGATATCAATAGGGTTATTTCATTGTAATAAAACTGATGGCCCAAAGGTCACGCATCTATTTCTACTTTTAACTGCCGGGTTAATATCCCTTATATACCAATTTTCTCGGGTGGATATGTCACGATCGTCCTGCGATTGGGTGAATCGGCCCTTGGAGGCGAAACCTTCTCCCAACCTATCCTCTGTCGTGCAGACGACAAGTCTCCCACGCCCAGCTCCACAAATTCCAAAATACCAATCCCTACCCCCCAAGCGGCAGTGTCCAATGACTAGCAGCATGCAGCACGACATACAAAACGCCAACAAGAACAAGAACAGCAACGATGCAACCTCAGCAGATGCCATCCGTATCCGCGACAATCAGCGCCGATCTCGTGCCCGCCGCAAAGAGTACCAGCAAGAACTAGAGCGACGCGTGCAAAAGTTTGAGCAACAAGGGGTACATGCTACAATAGAGGTACAGACTGCGGCTAGAAAGGTCGCGAGGGAGAATACTCTGCTGAGGTCGCTGCTGCGGCTGAAGGGGATCACTGCGGGGGAAATCGATGAGTATCTCTCGAATGCAAACGGGAATGAAAATTGCGGAAATGTGGCTGTGAATGGGAATAGAAATGGAAATGCAGATGTGAACGGGAGCTTGGATCGGAATAACGATAGATATGGAACCGGAATAGCGTTTACACAATTGCAACCTGCTCCTTCTCCTTTGTCTACATCCGCATCTACATCCGACCCTACGTCAATTCCCACGGCACCTGCGTTTCCAAACACCATCAACCAGAACCAGAACGAATGTCAAAATGAAAATCAATCTCCAATCCAACTAGACAACTACCCTTCCTACTACCCAGCGGAGCAAACCACCATCCAACCTACTCCCCAATACGTCGAAACCCCTAACGCCCAAAACATACCAGTTTCTGTCTCTGCACCTGCATCTATCACCACCTCTGCCTCCTCTTTATACTCTCCCAGCGCCAGCTTCACAAGCTCAAGTCTCACCCCATCCGCGAACAACGACCAGCAATACCAGCCCCAAAATTCATACACATCATTCCAATCCACAATACCCTATGCAGCGCCCAGATTCCCCCAAGGCCCTCCACAGCAAGACCACCAGCAACAGCAGCAGCAGCCATCCCTCCAACTTCCCCTCCAACTCCGCCCGCCCATCCCCTCCACCCAACCACATCCCTACCGCCCATCCCCATCCCACTCCAACTCCAACTGCACTCACCCCATCCAACCCCAGCCCCAACTCCAAGACCCCCAAACTCTCCTCCACACCACCCCGACGCCCCAGGCCAGCTGTTCCAGCCCGACGGACACCACCCTCGACTCTACGTCTTGCGAGATTGCCGCGAGCATCATCGCCAGCATGCGTGGACATGGTGACGCAGCCTCCGTGCGTGCAGAGCTTGGTTGTGGGCCCGGTGGCGCGAATTGCCAGGTCGGCAATATGGAGATTTTTAGGGTGCTCGATCGGTCGATTGGGAGTTGCCGGTAATGATGACATATATGTATATTTTTTTTCCCCCTATGTTCTGCTTTGCCGGGGGAGTTCTTAGGAGTTTGGGAGTTTGGGATTTTACATTTTTTTTGTATCCATATCTATTTGTATTTGTTTATGCGTGTTTGAGAGTAGCGGGTGTCTGGAAGAATGCCAATTGATTACAAAATTGGTGAAGCTCTGCCGCTGAAGCAGGAGAAGCACCCAAGAAGCACCCAAGAGCTTCGTACATAACAACACAAAAGGTCCCTGTCCAATTTTCCTTCATTTGGCCATGGGATATTTGAGATATACTTGCCTTCCTAATGGTTATGTTTCGTCTACTATTCCCGGACTGTACGAGGCTGTCCAACTGCATGTCTTTGGCGAGAATCAGATGCATTATTAGATTGATGATTGTATCCAAGTATCCTTTCACACAATATCGCAGGGTCTATAATAACCTCCAAGTATCTCATTCAGGGCAGCTATATCCCAGGGCTGTTTGGATGTTCAAGATCGCTCCAATAGGGAAGTCTCAAGTTGGAAATACCTAGACCTTGAATTTATGCGCGCATAACGGAATGGTGAGATGGCGATGCTAAGCGAAGTTTTCAATCAAATCGGCCAAACTAAAAGAATTGATAAAGTTGGGGTAGCCCCTTGGTTTCGGATATGGCTTCGAGGGCGTTTTGGGTAACCCATTTAATTTCTTCAACTTTCATCAAATTCGTGCAGTAATCCATATCAGAGTCATGAAACTACTAAACTGGTATTGCAGTTACCAGACATCCGGGTATGCAGAAACCCTGTACAGGTAAACGATAGATTGTTCTCTGTCTGGAGAAGCGCTCAAGAGAATTAGAATAGCTGTGTGCGCTAATCATGCGTTAACTAGGTATAACTAACTAGTGGTTATATGAAGGTGGACTTGCCTGTGTTCGAACATGTGTTCCTATGGTGTTCAGTCAAGGCCCCTGAATAACTCATACATGTTCCATACAGTGAGCTATCTTCTTTGATCATATAAAAGAGGTAACTTTTCTGTAATATTACATACAATGACTGTATCAGCCTCTCTCTGAATGTATATTTAATAATTATCATTCCACTACTGTATTCTTCTCTCTCTACTCTTGTATTGATTTCTGTTCTTAACTATTCTTATTTTTATCCATCTACTTTGAAATCCTTGCATCTCTGTATAAGTGAGAAAGACTGATAATAATCTCTGCTGCTGATACTGCTGTTGAAGCAGCTACTGTATATTATAAATCTGTGACATAAGTCAGAGCTTATTGAATAAGAACTGAAGAAATGCAGAAATGGAACAATTCTCAACTGAGACTACTATGAGATCACATAACTGCTCATTTTAATCACTGTGTTTATTATAATCATCAATAAGTAAAGTGAGTAAGTGAGCAGAGTGAGTAAGATAATTTGTATGAGAACTCAAATGTATTTAAACACACTCATTACTCTTAGAATCAAGAAGCTTATCTTTTTAATTATAATTAATTCTTATTTCTTTATCTTATCTCTTTTATTTCTTACTTATACTCAAGTTATATAGTACAACTATAAGCTCATTTTAAATGTATATCTCTTTATAATATCTACTTTAAGTACTCACTTTATCTTATAAACTCTATTAGATATTTTTATTATCTATTTTAGACTGCTGCTGTAGCTATTGCTAGTTATTTTAAATATTTCTTTTAATATTATATTTTAATCTGTAATAGTAACACTATCTTCTGATTTAGTGAACAAGCTCAGCAATACTTTATAAAATTTAATTTTATTTTATAATCAGTAAAAAACTTGCTAGATTAAAAACTTAGTAGCAATATTGATTGTCTCTAATTCAAGATTATAAAAATCTCTATTTAAAGAAATAATTTATTAATTGAAAAACAGAACTAAGTTTAATACAACTAGCTAAGTTTAAAGATATAAATTCAAAGCTCTAAGA